TTTGGTGTGACTATTTATACAAAGCCATGCATATTTGATTATATAGTTCTGTTAAAAAACGATCCATTATTGTTAAATATAGTCTATTTATCTAAGCATTACACATTCATATAAATTTATCAAATATAATAAAAGGAAGCATACATGTGAACATTTCTAAATAACTATTACCTGTTTTTTCAAAACTGCATAAAATAAAAGTGAAGGACATAACATGTGATTTGCCATTAAAACACAATATATATACACTGTACTGCACTTGCAAAAATACAACTAAGTAGGTATACCCATAATCAAGCACACTGTGTCTTACTAAGGAAATGATTACAAGTAAGATAGTGACCATTTCTGTACAATGAATTCATTAATGGTTAGGAGGTTTTATAAGGCCACTTTTTTAAACACCTTAAATTTGAAAAATCAAAAAGTATTAAATTTCTCATACATGTATATTATTCCTTCAGATGTTTATAAGACATTAGTCTGTCACATATCAGTATAATACTTTATTTATATTTCAGAATCTTAACCTTAAATTTTGTATAAGGGCTTCAAAATTGTTGAATTTAATGAGACATTTCTGCACTCAAATGTCCATATCATATCATTTATATCATTCTACATTGAATTCCTTTATCAATAAAATTAACACAATTCTGAAAGGGTTAAAGCATTTTATTTTTTGGAATTTCAAGGGCCAGTTGTATGCACTGTTCACATTTTATTCTGTTGACCATTTATTGAAGTATGGTCAAAGGGAAGCTTTTTCCTCTCCTTGCTCTTTTTCTACTTTCCCAATCTTGCCATTAGCTTTAAAATGAGAAATGTAACTGTGTATTTGAAATACTATAAGTATTTCTAATGAATTCTTGCCTTTCTTTAGTTAAAAATTAGCTAAACTAGGTAAAAAATTTGAACTAAGCCTAACGTCTAAATCGCTCAACTGCATTTATTTTTCCTAAACAGCAAGAATATGCTTTTCAACCATCAGAACCAAATGAATAACATATTATATGAACAACAAACATGTACCTAGCAAGTTTCACTTGGTTCAGTACATATGTATAACAGTGGCGGATCCAGAAATTTTCATAAGTGGGGGCCCACTGACTGCCTAAGAGGGGCCCGCTCCGGTCATGCTTCAGTGATTCCCTATATAATCAACCAATTTTTTCCCAGAAAAGGGGGCCCGAGCCCCCCTCTAAATCCGCCTCTGTATAAGTTCTTGAAAACTTGACTGACTTTCAAGCCCCTTGAAGCCATACATGTATTTGACTTTTCTTGATGACCAAAGTAGCATCACTTGTTGAGGACCTTCACAGGAATATAACTGTCAAGCTTGGTTGCAATTTGTTCAGCCTTTCTTGAGAAGATGTTTCCTATGTTAAGTCATTCAGAAATAAGATTAGGCCATGTTTAATTGACAAATCTGCACCAATGTAATAATCCACTGAAAGGAACCTGAATGATCTTTTCTGCCATGTCAAGTGTGATTTAATTTGTGGTACTCAACTGATGGCAAAAGTTCACATGGCAGAAAAAGAGATAAAAAATGCAAAGACAAAAATAAGGAAAGGGTTGGTGTTAGCTGAGGTGTCCAATATTTCTGTCTTTTAAAATTATGGATGTCACTAAGACATGACCTTTAAAAAAGATTTTATTAAATAATTTTGGCCTCTCAGACATACATTTGAATGAATCATGAAAATACAGAAAGTGTCATATAATAATTGAAACCTTCATGTTGACAGTGTACTATATAAAGTGAAAAATAAATCTGTAGAATGTTTAATGTATAAATCTAGCTGTCTAAATGTGAACTGATTACCTGAAAGCTCTGTTAAAGAAAATTAAAAAAATCAATTCAAAAATTTCACTTGTCTTATATATATGCTGTATATATAAAGCAGACTATATATAATTATCATTAAAGAATCAAATGTTACTAACATAAAATTAGAACAAATGAACTGTTAAAAAGAGATATTTGTTAACCCATGCTTGAAAAATCAAACACACACTGTTGGAAATGTATGTTTGTGAAGAATGCCTTTTTCTCAAAATGGCTCTTTCGACAATATAAACTTAGTATAGTCGTTAAAACCTATATATATAGCCTAAAAATAACAACCATCAACATTCAATCTATCTAGGCGTGGATCAGTTTGAAAATAAACTGATGCAGTTACTAAATTAGATTATATATGTAGGACTAGGAGGTGCGATGGGGATGCTGAAGTGCGATGGTCCTTTCGCTGAAGTGCGATGGTTTTGCATGACGTTAGGATATTGTGACATTTTAAAATACAATGTTATTAAATTGAATGGATTGACAGACAGGAGAATAAGATTTGTAGATGAAGGTTTCATGCATACAATAGAAAGGAAACAGAATGAAACGAACGATTTAAGTCCTGAACAGTTTTGAGCATTAGAGGTGGAGGTTACAAAAATATGTAAAACTAAGTCGGACAGCAAACCATGGGGAAAAAGACGGATAAAAGATGATCTTGGTCTGCAGATGGGCTAACCAGTGTTCGGAAGCATGCATAATGTATGCTGCAAACGTTTTGTACGACAAATAAAATGTCTTGATCTTAATATGAATTTTGACTTCTCTTCAAGTATACATCTCATGAGTGTGTGTGGACAACTTAACAATAAAATAAAATAAATTATTAGCAATGTGTTCGTTGTATCAAGTAACGATAATTTTATTTTATTCTTGAGATGAATCCTGCTTTGTAAGAAAACACACAATCTTAGTAATTTTATTGTGTTTACAGTATTAATCTTCTGTAATGGGTGTACATGGTCCCACTTTGGTGTACTTCTCAATTTTTGCTGCTCAGTGGAGAAGCAGCTCATTCTCAAGCTTTTGACAGAACAAGCGTCACGTCTCAATATGAGAATAAAATGAACTTTCACTGAGGACTTAAAAAATAGCCAGTGGTTATATTTGATGATATTACCAATTAAAAGATGCTCTCAATACTATGTCACATGATTAAAAACAATCAAAGAAATAGTCGGTGAAGCAAGAAATTTTGGTAAGGATTCATTTTGTAAGTGACTTTTTAAATAGATACCAAACTGACTAGAGAGATTAACTCTTGCATACAGACAAGCTAGAGTACAGCTGCATGTTCCTTCCAGAGTTTCATTGAAGAGCATATGAACCTTATTTGTAATTCCAAAAGAAGCTTGAGCTTTTCAGAATTGCAGGTACTGACCCTATGCTGCATTACAAAGGGTTAACAATGACAAATGTCAGCTAGCGTGTCCTTTTAACTTCTTGGAAATCCTTTTTGGCACATGTACATGTAAGATACCAGTAAGGGAAGGGCTAAAATTTAACACCACAATACCGAATTTAAAACTCAAACTTTTTATTTTTTCAAGAATTGCAACAGATTACCTATTCATCTGTGTAATTTTCATGAAAAATTACCTTTAGCAAAACTGAAAACTTTGACTTAATTCTTTAAAAAATGCCCTGTTCTTGCCATTTCTATGCCAATTTTCATTGGTAAAAAGGTAATTTGAAAAGACAATGATTTATGCAGCCTTAGCATGTACTTCAGTTGAAGCAATAAATTCTTATAACCTGGCACTTCAGAAAAAGCAGTTTTCCAAGTTATTTTGACACAATGGAAATCTTTTTTGTCAAGGTTATCAAATGCATAGTATACCATGAGAACATGATATACTGGTACTTGTTGTCCACACACTGAAAATAAAAACCAAGAGGCAACTTTTTCCTTAAAGTTGACCTGAACTTACTTAATATATTTCACAGGCAACCTACATGTAACAAAGTAAAAGTATATCTGCAATGACTTTTAATTGTTGCCCATTTCACTAGATATTAATATGACTTTTTCTACAGGTGTCACATTGACAGGTGCCCATTTGTAGGGTTCCTTTCTTAGAGTATCGCTGTTCACATGACTAAAGTGTTCTGCCAATTAATGGATATTTCTGATCTGATAAATGTTCCATTAATCATTTCAAAAAGACTCTTAGTAATGCTTATGTCTTTTTTGTAAGACAAGTTTCCAATTTTGATTTTATGAATGAATAGGCTTTTTCTCGAATCATGTGTTTCGATGGAAAAGATTGTCAATTGTGCACGCCTTTATGACGTACTTCATTTACCAGATAGAAGGCACGCCTGTATCCCTGCACTATTAAAGATTCAAGCATTTTCAGGATCGTCATCCTGCAGGGTAGTCTAGAAATAATTGATGTTCTGTAAGTACGTAATCTCATTCCCGTAAGATTAAAGGGATGGTGACCAACTAATAAGATTTTAATTTCCCGAATATTTTGTGCAGTATAGCATCATACTTTTTCACTCGTTCGCTCAACATGTTAGAAGTGACAATGTCTACATTTTGGTCACATGGTGATGGAAGTCACATGACAGATTCATCTAACTACAGTATCCGGAACTGGTGTATTGCCTGGTTCACCTTGGGTCAGTAGGGGTAAAATGAGTCATGAGACATTGCGACGTGAAGTTATTTGCTATGTGACATCGAATTTTACCACAAAAAGGCGCCAGTTGAAAAATGATGCATCTCTTTTAGGATTCTATGGCGGAAGAAAATCACACTAGTCACTAGGCACAGAATCCCAAAAGGGATTACATGATTAGTATTTTAGAAAAAATACTCAATTCATCTTTAAGACTGTAATTCATTTAAAATCATGCCATTTCCAGCCAGTCAAGTGAGTTACTGCATGTAAATGCTAAATGTTCTCACTTCATGATTTTGTTGTCCTTGGCAACTGCTCATTTTTGTGATTTTTGGCCCCTAACAGAAAAATTTAACAGAATATAAAGCATAATATAACATTATGCATTAATCTTTGCACAATTTCTGTATAACTACCTCTGACGACTGTATTTAAAAAGGTTTTCAGCAAATTTTTGGTTGATTTTTGCCTTTCCTGCTCCTTCCATTTTGCTGATTGAAATAACACGAGATTGTGCGAGAAGTGGCGAGATGAAAACAAACATGGAGGCTCAGCTGTGACATATTGCATTTTTTGCAAACAGAAAGCAGTTTATTCTCACTTTTATGCTAATTTTATTGAAATGCTAAATGTATGAGCTATCAAAGATTACTTAATTCATTTTTTTTCACATCACATATCGTTAAACTGATTGGGTACTTCACCAGATGGGGAGAAGTTCCCCAAAATTTGTAATTATTGGAAGCATTTGTGTATTCTTTATAATTATATACACCAAGGATCGTTGTTTAAATTAAATTATGCGAATTTTTTAGTATAAATTTTAATGAGTTTTTACATGATTGTGATTTTGGATCACACATAAATTTTTAATGTGTAAGTTTAATCTCTTTTTCATTTTTTTATGTACACATTTTTGTATATGTAAATTCTACAAGCTGTATTGCTTTTGAATAAAAGAGTATTATTATTATTTGAGATCTGTTACACACAATTAATTTATTTGATAATTAAGAGATCAAATTAATCAATTTGAAATTGAGATATGTGTATGAAGGCCAAAAAGATTATGTCTGTTTTGGGTTACCTGATCACTAGTCAGGGGTGCTACTTAGACATGTGATTTCATCATCACTTATTTCAGTGATTTGATAAATTCAGTTATCACCTATTTAAGTGATTTTAGTGTTTTCTTTGATCTTCAAATGCTAATTTCATTGATTTTACATATTTTCACAATCTTTTCTATAATTTTCCCACATAAATCAATTATCCCTTTTTCTTTGTATATTAATTTCACCAGTGCGCTTGGGCAGTAAGTTAGTGGCTAAAGCTTTTAAAAGTACCCTTGGGAATTTTTCTGTAATCAAAAATTCATTAACTACGCTTACTATCAGACAAAGATCAACAATATTAGGTAACCTGATTGGTTTTCTTTAGAGTTAGAATGATCTACTTCAAGGTTATGACCTGATCTACAAACTATTCCAGTTTTTGCATATTTTAAAAAAACTGTAAAAGTGTCAGGCTTATCAAGCAAAAGACAATTTTTGCATATACATAGTTCTTTTTTCAATGGAATTGTTGTCTTTTTACCAAGAAAAAAATCAAGCTTGTGGGAAAAATATCAAGAAAATGTTATAAACACTTATTAAAGTGATTACATTTTAACTTCTAAAATTACTTGTTTCAGTGATTTTTAAAAGTCTGTGTGAAAATTTTTAATATTTCACAGCCAAAATCACTCGAGGGAGTGATTCTGAAATCACTTGTTTAAGTAGAACCCCTGACTGCTGACCGACCCTAAACCATTTTATTTCCACCTTAAAGGCGAAAATTTTTTTTGGGACCTTTTTATGCAGAAAATTATTATTTTTCGGTCATTTTCCAGGTATGCCATGCTTATGAAATTCACATTACTCCTTATTAACATGGTTGTTTTCAAATATAAAATAAGTTTTATAAAACGGGAAGATCAGTCGACAAGTCAACCGAAGCGTTTATCAATAGAACGGCAATCAATGGACACATGACCAACCCGGGAACAGATAAGACACAAAAGAACAAACAAAAACATTCAATGTTGAAACTAAATACATATAAAAAACACGAACCCCGAAAAAAAATGTGGCGACCTCCAGTGCTCCGGAAGGGTAAGCAGGTCCTGCTTCTTGCTAGACACCCGATCGTAGCGTTTCTCACTAAGGTCATTTTCGAATCAAAGGAGGGGTTTCTACGACAACGGATGAAGGTCACTTGGGACACAGATACCCAAGGTGAATTAATAGTCTTTTGGACGAACGGACAATGGGAATACGAAATCAAACGGCGACTTTTAAGTCTTGACTTATAAGTGAGGGATATAAATCTAAGATGTTTTCAAGGTTATTGTATTGAGCCTGTATTATTAAATGTTAATACTGCATGTAAGACTTAAAGTATAGTTAATATCCAAAGTCCATATATCTATTTTTTGCCGAGGCAAATGATCGCAGAACTCTCTCGGTGTCGATATTCACTTCTCTGTGAATATGTATGAGCGCCAACGAAGATAGTCTGTCCTATACCATGGTTGAACGGAGATAGTTTTCAGTCGCCGTAATGCACTAAATGACCGTTCAGTAATTGATGTAGTTACTGGCATTGTAACTAGGATTGACACGATTGCAAACTATTGAAGGATATAGTTCCTTTTTAGTCACTGCTAGAGACGACATCAGAGATTTGGGCTACTCTATAACATCTGGACCCGACCAGCGTCTCTGCCATCTCTTTACCTCAGAGTTGAAGGTTTCTTGATTGTGCAGGTATAAGGTTCTGGCCTTGAAAACCATCAGAGTTATCCAGTAAACGTCCTGTGAGTTCCTCAATGAAATAGTCAAGAAGTGAGAAATACAAGGCTCGCTTCCAATACTGACTTGGAGTGTCAGCTGGATAGTTAGCCCGGTTGACCTGTCTTCCTACTCATTCGTAATTTAATTTCAGAATTATTTTTTTTGTGAAAAAAATGTGCAAGCAAATGATTTTTTGCGTAAAGGCAGCTACGCGCCTGTAAGTTATTAGCATTTTATATATATATATGACCTTAATTTTTTTGCGGCTGTATAATGGTATGTCGTTGTGGTTGTCGTCGTCCAAAGTTGTTTGGTTTCTAGACAATAACTTAAGTATGAGTGAATGGATCTTTATGAAATTCTACCACAAGGTTCCATATCCTACAACAAAAGGAAGGTTGGGATTGATTTTGGGGGTTATTGTCCGAACTGTTTAGGAATTAGGACCAAAAAGGGACCAAAAACAATAATTTTTCTTGTTTCAAGACAATAACTTGTGTATATGTGTATGGATCTCTATGAAATTGTATCACAAGGATCCATACCAGAAAAGAAAGGTTGGGATTGTTTTTGGGGGTTATGGCCCTAACCATTTAGGAATTAGGGGCTAAACACAAAACTTTACTGATACTTTGTATAAATTGCTTATTTCTTGACCAATTTGAAGTTTCAACGGGGTATAATTCCAATTCTTGATTTCTTGGGGTTCTTCAATATGCTGAATCTAACTGTATTTAGATTTTGGATATTGGACCATAATAGGTAAATGTCCAATTTCAATTTTTTAAGTTCTTAGACCACATTCATTCTGTGTCAGAAACCTATGCTGTGTCAAATATTTAATCACAATCCAAATTCAGAGCTGTATCAATCTTGACTGTTGTGTCCATACTTGCCCCAACTGTTCAGGGTTCAACCTCTGCAGTTGTATCAAGCTGTGCCCTGCAGAGCATTTTATTATTTACTGTTAATGGATAAATTTCAGTGATTTTGGGTAAATCTATGAATCTTAAATAAACAGATAAAACAAGAATTTAAGTATGCAAATAATTATAAAATAGTATAAGTGTATAACTCAAAATACAAAAACTAACACTAAAAGCACACATATATAAAGCACATAGACAGTCTATAATAAAATGAAGTATAAAATTTTGCAACTTAATCTTGTCAGCACTGATGTAAAGTAAAACTACAAATCTGCAATTTTTAGGAGAAAGAAGACTTTCAAGTCTCTAGAAATCCCTATACTGCTGGTTAGTGTTCTTTTAAATTTGAACATCAGAATTTCCAGTAGTGTTATCTTAACCCTTTCTGTGCTTTACAACTTAAAAGCCTCATCTCAACACAGATATGTACATCTTATGGAACCACCTACAGGAAAATTCCAGCATCCATTTACTTTTAACAAAAATCTCCTCTGAAAGTACTAGGCCATTTGGAATCAAACCTGTCCACATTCATCATTGGGGTATCTAGTTTGAATAATGGAGAATGTGTCCATGGGACACCATGGACACAGAGTATGCCCCCGCTTACATATAACGTTACAAATGGACATAACTCAAGAACAGTAAAAGCGAAGCCACCCATATTCGTTTGTAAAGGGGCATAAATCTGGAATGATAAAAGTGACACCACTCAAATTCAAACTTGATCTGTATCTCATGATCCTGCATGTTAACCAACTTTGTAGACAGGGCTAAAAATAGAACATTGTGTTAAAATGCAATTTTGTCTATTATCTTGAAAACCCCTATAGACAGAAAAATCTGGCAGGGGCAAATATGAGGTGACATGTATACTGAAGCTAAGCTGATCATTCCCTTTCATCAAGCCAAGAAAACATCTAAAGTTTGAAAGATGACATCATGATTTGGTTGACCACACATATTGTCCCACTTGCCACTGTAGTGTTCTCCTTGCTTTATTTATGACTTCATTGTATTACTATATAGAAATAAGAAGATGTGGTATGAGTGCCAATGAGACAACTCTCCATCCAAGTCACAATGTGTAAAAAGTAAACAATTATAGGTCAAAGTAGTTGGTTGAGGCAAACTTAAGTTAGAGAACAGAATTGAAAAATTCAGCAATTTATCAATTTAACACGGAGCCTTGGCTCACACCGAACAGCAAGCTATAAAGGGCCCCAAAATGACTAGTGTAAAACAGCTCAAACAGGAAAACCAACAGTCTAATCTATATAAAAAACGAGAAACACTTAAGCACCACATCAACAAACGACAACTACTGAAAAAGGTTCCTGACTTAGGACAGGTGCAAACAAATGCAGCGGGTTTAAACGTTTTAACAGGCGCAAACCTTCACCCTAACCTGAAATAATAGTGTAACATTACAACAGAGAAAGACACACTATAAAATATCAATTGAAATGGCTTAACTCAATCAAAAAGACATAACAAAAACAAGTAAACATACACTGAATGAATAAATTTGATCTACAAAATGTCAAAAAGACAACTATAACCTTGGACATGTATTTGACTTTTCACTGAAATTTTAAATGACATGAGCGTACATGTACATCACAGGCTACTGAAGCAGGAAATTCTTACCCCATGGGAACACCTGAGTTCACCTTGGTTTGTTTGAAGGGGTCCATCTTTAGAGTTTGGTGTATGATGATTTGTGGACTGTTATTTGTTTTTATTTTTTTCTGTTTTATTTTGGCCTTTGTATTTTTTCTGTTTTTCTTTGACTTGGAATTTTTTATTGGCTCTTTGGTATTTTCTTACTTTAAATGTATTTTGATAAAAGTTATCAATAACAAATTGGCTAACAATGCATGTGCAGCATTTTTTTTTAACATGATTGACAATAAAAATTGTCTTGTGGGTAATATAAGAAGGTTGACCTTGTAACCAGAAACTTGTCATTTTATTCATATTTCTTTAATGATAGTCCATCCCTTTAAAATCATGTTATTATACTTTTTTAATCCAACACTTTATAATATTTCTAGCCTATTATCTGACAAAAAAAGAGATGCATTTATCACAGTATTTATTGTTGAATATTTAATAATAAGAAACATAATTTTCTGGTTTTAGGCGAAAACAAAACCCTGATGGATACACATATAGTACGACAGTTTCAGAATTTGCAAGTTTTGTCAAAAACAAATGGTCTGAGGATGGACGACCTAGTTAGTGATCTAACCATGGCATTGGAAGAAACTACAAGATCACCAAAATCATCAAAAAATTACATGGCTATGGCTTCTTCAAAAAGACAGAAGAAAAAAAAGGGAAAAAAGAAAAGAATAACATGTGTTGAACTTGACAACACAAGTGAAGCGTCTGAAAGCAGTCTAGAAGGAGCACTTAGGGGTTACATGGAAAGCCGTTTACAACAGAGTGATTCTGACGATGTTTTAAGTAAAACGCATTACTATACAAGACTATCCATGCCGGCAAGAACTGAATATATCCCTTCTGTAGAATCAGATTCATTTACAGATAATATATCTCCTGTAAAACCACAAAGACGAAGAAAAAAATATAAATCCATGGTCATTGATGTTGAATGTATGCCAGCTCCACAGAGCACAGTGGTGCCATTCAAATCAAAAAGTAAGGCTAAAATGGAAGTAGAAGTTCGGAAAGAATCACCAATACCAGAAACCACCAAAGAAACCACTGGAGAACAAATATTTCCGGGAAAAAGGAAGAGAAGTTCGAAATCTAAATCAGATAATAACAAAGACAACTCGGAAAAATTTGATACCATGGATACTGGAAATGAATCACAGTAAGTTTTAAGGGTATTTCTTTTATTTATATTTATATATTATCCTTGTCATCAGAATTTGTTCAGCAAAATACAGAGTTGTTTGTCTTTATGATGAGACAAAAGGGTGGCAGTGGATACTTTATATTGGAAAACATTAGGACAAAATTAATACTTATATTATTACATACATGGATTTTTTTATTTACATTCATAAAAGTAATTATAGTCTTATTTAATTTAACTAGAATTTAAAAAAAAAGGTATTTGAAGAATTATACAATAAAAAAACTGACCACATATAATTTATTTTTAAGTAAATCTACAAATTGGGTCTTTCCACTGGAAATTCAATTCTGGGCAAATGTTTAAAGCTCAATTTTGTTAAGAAGAATAGAGTTATCATTATTCATTATCACTGAACTAGTATATATATTTGTTTAGGGGCCAGCTGAAGGACGCCTCCGGGTGCGGGAATTTCTCGCTGCATTGAAGACCTGTTGGTGACCTTCTGCTGTTGTCTGTTCTATGGTCGGGTTGTTGTCTCTTTGACACATTCCCCATTTCCATTCTCAATTTTATTATCTTTTTTTTCCTCAAAAATGAATTCCATGACAAATATATTTCTGAATGTTTTTTTTTGTTTAATTTTTTCCCCTAAGAGATACGTCTAGAAATTAAAAAAAAAGAAAACATGGCCAACAAGAAAAATCTTAAATTCTTCAATATTGGTGCTTAAAACAGACTTTTTTTGTTTAATTTCAGCATGAACTTTGTAAAAGCCTTGATTACGATGACACATTATTTTTTATCTTTAATCTCTGAAACCTCATGGCACTGTCATCAAACATGACCGCAATCATTACGATATATAATAGAAAATTGTTTGTACAGGTAGACAATTTTTTGTCAAAAAATTTAATAATGAAAAATCATGTGAAAATCCAATTGCTCTCAAAGTGAAACTTTTTAATTAATGTTATTGATACATTTATTTCACTTCAAAAGAATTGATGACAGTATTATTAGAACTATTGACAACAGAATAGATGGTCATCATAAATGTTAATTGAGCTATATATGCTCCTTACACCGCCAATATTGAAATTTTGATAAATGAAACATGTATTTTAGCATTGACAATTTTTCTGTGATGATACAGGACTATGTATATTATTTCATGTTAGAGTATCGTCCTGTATGTGTTTTGGCTTCTTATTTCTGTTGTATAATTTCAGGGAGAGTAGTTCCTGGACAAGTTTTAGTAGCAGTGACAGTGAAGGAATTAGTACACATGATGAAGGAAGAGAGGGTAAATGATTGAGATGCTACTTTTTATTTGTAATGAAGGCCTTCAATCGACTACTTGTCTCTTATGTGTATGGTCCCGGGTTTCCATTATAAGCCAGAGTGAAACAAATGATTAAAAATTTTTAATTTTTTTTTTGTAAAATCAAATACTAGTTTGCTCATAGTAAAGTGTTATTACTGTGGTTATATTTCTTCCTGCAGGTGTTATGCTGTGTGCAAACTGGAAACAAATTGGATGTGTGAGTTGTATAATGCAAGGCATACTAATAGCACTTACAAGTTTTAGTCCTGAATATACATGTTCTAGTTATAACTTTAAGCAACCATCCATCATCAAATATTTTTGACCAATACTTTGTCTTTTCAAGCAATTCTATAAAATGTTTTTTATGCCCCCGCCGTAGCGGAGGGGGCATTAAGTTTTACCCTTGTCCGTCTGTACGTACGTCCGTCCGTACGTCCCAAAAATTGGTTTCCGTTCTTTGACTTTAGTTTGCCTCAACCAAATGATATGAAACTTATACACAGTGCTTATTACCACAAAACCCAGGTCAAGTTTGAATTTGGGTTGTGTCACATTTACCGTTCCAGAGTTATGCCCCTTTACAAATGGAAAAATTGCTGAATTTTTTGTTTCCGTTCTCTAACTTTAGTTTGCCTCAACCAAATGTTATAAAACTTATACACAATGCTTATTACCACAAAACACAGATCAAGTTTGAATTTTGGTGGCGTCACTTGAATATTTTCTTTTAAATATCAAGTAATTTTTGTCGAGCCTGCGACAGCTCGACATAGGGATAGTGATCCGGTGGTGGCGGCGTTAGCTAACTTCTTAAAAGCTTTATATTTTAGAAGGTAGAAGATCTGGATGCTTCATACTTTGTATATGGATGCCTCATGTTACGAAGTTTCCGTCAGTCACATGTCCAATGTCCTTGACCTCATTTTCATGGTTCAGTGACTACTTGAAAAAAAAGTTAAGATTTTTTGTAATGTTAAATTCTCTCTTATTATAAGTAATAGGATAACTATATTTGGTATGTGCGTACCTTGCAAGGTCCTCATGCCCATCAGACAGTTTTCACTTGACCTCGACCTCATTTCATGGATCAGTGAACAAGGTTAAGTTTTCGTGGTCAAGTCCATATCTCAGATACTATAAGCAATAGGTCTAGTATATTCGGTGTATGGAAGGACTGTAAGGTGTACATGTCCAACTGGCAGGTGTCATCTGACCTTGACCTCAGTTTCATGGTTCAGTGGTTATAGTTAAGTTTTTGAGTTTTGGTCTTTTTTTCTTATACTGTATGCAATAGGTCTACTATATTTGGTGTATGGAATGATTGTAAGGTGTACATGTCTAGCTGGCAGGTGTCATCTGGCCTTGACCTCATTTTCATGGTTCAGTGGTCAAAGTTAAGTTTTTGAGTTTTGGTCTTTTTTTCTAATACTATATGCAATAGTTCAAATATATTTGGTGTATGGAAATATTTTATGATCTATATGTCATTCACGCAGGTTTTATTTGACCTTGACCTCATTTTCAAGGTTCATTGCTCAGTGTTAAGTTTTTGTGTTTTGGTCTTTTTTTCTTAAACTATAAGCAATATGTCAACTATATTTGTTGTATGGAAGAATTGTTAGCTGAAAATGCCTGCCTAGCATGGTTCATCTGACCTTGACCTCATTTTCATGGTTCATTGGTCAATGTTTAGTTTACTTGGTTAATGTTAAGTTTATGTGACAGTTGTAATAAAGCTTTATATTTAGGACTATCAGCATAATGTCAATGATTAGTAAAGAAGGTGAGACATTTCAGCGTGTGCACTCTTGTTAAAATTGGAGTTATCTCTTGTCCATGATTGTAGTTGAATCAACTAGATTGTAGTTGAATCAACTACAATCAATGCTTCATACAATGCAATGTTTAATTTTGACTTCCACTGATAAAACACAGATCAAGTTGAATTATAGTGTCACTTTAACCATTATTGAGTTATGCCCCTTTATAAATAGAAAGATTGGAAAATTTTTAGTTTTCATTCTGTAACTTAAGTTTGCCCCAACCAAACATTATGAAACCTATACACATTATTCATTACCACAAAACTAAGATCAAGTACATATTTTTTGTTTCCACTTTCTAACTTTAGTTTGCCTCAACCAAATGTTATGAAACTTATACACAATGCTTATTATTACATAATACAGATTAAGTACGAAATTTGGTGGCGACACTTTTACCATTCTTGAGTTATGTCCCTTTATAAACATAAATATTGCTGAATTTTTCGTTTCCGTTCTCTAATTTTAGTTTGTCTCAACCAAATGTTATAAAACTTATACACAACCGTTCTAGAGTTATGCGTGTTTACAAATAGAAATATTGCTGAATTTTTAGTTTCTGTTCTCTACTTAAGTTAGCCTCAACCAAATGTTATGAGACTTACACATAATGCTTATTACCACAAAACTCGGATCAAGTTCAAATTTGGGTAGGGTCACTTTTACCGTTCTTCAGTTATGTCCCTTTATAACTATATGATATGCAAGCGGGGGCATTATCTGTGTCCACATGTGGACACTATCCACATTTATTTTTTATTGTGCTGATGTCTGTTCATCCGTCTTGTATCATGTTTAAGTTTTGGTTTGAAAAATGAAAACAACACTTTATAAATTTCATGCGTTTAAAGTGCTTTTCTAGATTTACTTTCATCAAATATTTGAAAGCCAAGGATGTATAAGATCCAGAACAATAGAAAAACTATATGACCAAAAAAGACTTATAAATGATAGCAAAATCCATCTACGGTCAACTTTGCCTGAGGGAGTTGAAACCTTATTTTCTTAATAACTTATCAATTTATAAATGAACAATTTAAGAAAGGTTTGTTATAAATCATGTCAGTATGGAAGTACTGACTTCTTAGCTGATGATACCCTTGGGGACTGATAGTCGACCACCAGCAGTGTCAACCCAAGTGCTGTAACAAATGAAAACAACACTTTCAGGTAGTTAAAGATTAAGTTGTGGTCACATCAACTTGAAACACAGCACACATCTTCATTATGAATTAAAAAAAAAAAAAATATATGCCAAATTAGGGCAGATTCACAATTACTGCCTCAGCGGTCTCATTGTAGTGTATTCGCCACAAGTGGAGGAGGTTATGGGTTTGATCTCCATTCAGGTCAAACCAAAAACTTTGAAATTGGTATTTGCTGTGATTCTGCTAAGCATGCAACAATAAGGAGTAAGAGCAAAGACTAATAGGCTCAAATTCTGAAAAATGTGTTTGGATATCCGATAGGGTGACATGTCTACTTGAAGACTGTTACATTGTGAAATAGAATGTTCAAAATCCAGGGGATCACAGAATGACAAGCAAAAATATTGTAACACAGAATTCATTGAAACAATAGCATGACATACGTCTTACAAAGAAAGTTATGTTCTGCATTTATTGAATTTTCTGACCAAAAATTACTGTTTTTACAGCTGATGATGAACAAAGTGATTTCTTTCATGAGCCTGGACCAGCTTGTGGTATACCTGGAATCATTCCGTGGTGGGAAAATGAAGCTAAGGATGAAAATGAGATGGAATCTGAAAAAGAATTCCATCAAATACTGTCAGGAACATTTGAAAATATGTCCAAAACTTCACAGTTAGCATTTAAAGCTAGAGTTACTAAATTGATGGCAAAGGTATATATTCATTACATATTTATAATTCACTTATAATTTTCTACAAGTTTATAGTTGTTTTGTGTCTTTTTAAAATCAATCAACCATCGATTATTGAATTTTTGCTGTTTTTACCGGTATTTAAAACACAAGTACACATAAAACAATACTAGATTACAGCATATCAAAGAATGCTTGCAGTTACTGAAAGCAAACTCATAGCACTGAACCTTTTGATATAGAAATCATACAGGAAGGAATGCCAATAGTAAATTATTACAGAGTTTCAATATAGAAAAAAATAAAAGAAGCTTTTAAGGCTTTTTTAGACTATAAAAATCAAATATATATTAATTCAATAATTACCAGACACAATGATTCAACAACAACTGTATACTTATAACCTATATAAATAAACCATTTAACCAGAAAGAAGGACAACTCCTTAACTTGCTTTTTTTATAAATAGTGTTACTGTAAGAAGTTGGGTGTAAAATAAGTCAATATTATTAGTAAGTACCTTGGCAATACTTTTTTTGTTCACTACCATCAAATAAAACGGAAACCATTGTCTTTTTCATATCAACAACAACCAATGGTTATAATAGGCAATATCTTCTGTATAAGTTTCATGTTTTAATCTTGCACATTACACTGTAATTAAATTAATAAAAGAATTTTCTGAAATTTAACCTATATATTCAGACAATATCTGAACTTTTAGTACTTACATGTTGATCTGTTTCATTGATAATTTGTTGATATCTTTAAGATAATATTAACCTGTTATATGATATTTGACAAAAAATTATGGTTTTAGTCTGGAAGAGAAGTTAGATTTGGTAGAAGACGATTGAAAGAAAAGGTCAGTTTTTATACGACAGCAAAAAAATTATTTTTTTGCGGTCGTATATTGGTATGACGTTGGCGTCGTCGTCATCGTAGTCCGAAGACACATTGGTTTTCGCACTCTAACTTTAGTTTAAGTGAATGGATCTCTATGAAATTTTACCATAAGGTTCAATATCATAAAAGGAAGGTTGGGATTGATTTTGGGGGTTATGGTACCAACAGTTCAGGAATTAGGGGCCAAAAAGGGGCCAAAAATAAGCATTTTTCTAGTTTGCAGACAATAACTTGTGTTCAAGTGTATGGATCTCTCTGAAATTGTACTGCAAGGTACCATACCACAAAGGGAAGGCTGGGATTGATTTTGGGGGTAATTGCCTCAAAATTTTAGGAATAAGGGGCCAAAAAGGGGCAAAAAATCAAGCATTTTTCTAGTTTCATGACAATAACTTGTGTGTAAGTGTATGGATCTTTCTAAAATTGTACTACAAGGTTCCATATCACAAAGGGAAAGCTGGAATTGAGTTTGGGGGTAATTGCCCAAAACGTTTAGGAATTAGGGGCCAAAAAGGGGCAAACAATCAAGCATTTTTCTAGTTTCAGGACAAGAACTTGTGTGTAAGTGTATGGATCTCTATGAAATTGTACTGCAAGGTTTCATATCACAAAGGGAAAGCTGGGTTTGAGTTTGGGGGTAATTGCTCTAAACATTTAGGAATTTAGTTTAAGTGAATGGATCTCTATGAAATTTTACCATAAGGTTCAATACCATAAAAGGAAGGTTGGGATTGATTTTGGGGGTTATGGTACCAACAGTTCAGGAATTAGGGGCCAAAAAGGGGCCAAAAATAAGCATTTTTCTAGTTTGCAGACAATAACTTGTGTTCAAGTGTATGGATCTCTCTGAAATTGTACTGCAAGGTACCATACCACAAAGGGAAGGCTGGGATTGATTTTGGGGGTAATTGCCTCAAAATTTTAGGAATAAGGGGCCAAAAAGGGGCAAAAAATCAAGCATTTTTCTAGTTTCAGGACAATAACTTGTGTGTAAGTGTATGGCTCTTTATGAAATTGTACTACAAGGTTTCATATCACAAAGGGAAAGCTGGGTTTGAGTTTGGGGGTAATTGCCCTAAACGTTTAGGAATTAGGGGCCAAAAAGGGGAAAAAAATCAAGCATTTTTCTAGTTTCAGGACAAGAACTTGTGTGTAAGTGTATGGCTCTTTATGAAATTGTACTACAAGGTTTCATATCACAAAGGGAAAGCTGGGTTTGAGTTTGGGGGTAATTGCTCTAAACGTTTAGGAATTTGGGGCCAAAAAGGGGCCAAAAAACAAGCAATTTTCTAGTTTCCAGACAACAACTTGTGTTCAAGTCAATTGATCTCTCTGAAATTGTACTGCAAAGGGAAGGCTGGGATTGAGTTTGGAGGTGATGAATCAAAAGGGGGTTCAAAAAATTTGGGGGAGGGATTTTTTTTTCTTTAAAATTTTCCATTTTAAATTGGTTATTTCTGATTTATATATAAAAGCATATAATAATGATATGGTTTGAATAGGTAAATAAAATATAAATTAAAATTTTTTTTAAGTTCTTAGACCACATTCATTCTGTGTCAGAAACCTATGCTGTGTCAAATATTTAATCACAATCCAAATTCTGTGCTGTATCAAGCTTGAATGTTGTGTCCATACTTGCCCCAACTGTTCTGGGTTCGACCTCTGCTGTCGTATCAAGCTGCGCCCAGCGGAGCATTTTATTTATAATATTAAGTTTAAGAACAATGATGGTATACTATCCATCTATCACTCCTTCCATCTGTTTGTCAACACTTCCTACGATAACTCAAATTTGCTTTTACCAATTTGCATGAAATTTTAATAAAACAGTAGGACTGACAGAAGAAAATTCCTTTTGATTTTAAAATTTTGTCTGGTTGTGTCCTTCTAAGGTTTTGATACTTTTACCAGCAGAGTTAGCGGAATTTTTCACATATCCTGCACTAACTTCAGTATGCTTGGACTGATATCCTATAAACTTTACACTCCTGTTGAGATTGATAAAGGGAAGCTCCCTCTCAATTAAAAAAAAAAATTCTGGTTTGTTGTTCAGAGTTAAGAGACTTTAACAATCATATTTAAGTAAATTTTACCATAACATGAGTTTGCTGGGATTGATTTACAAGAATCTTAAAATAATTGTTGGAATTGGTGAAAGTAAGTTACCTATCGATTTTTAAAATTTTCATTCCAGAATTATGTCACTTAACTGTTAGATTAATAAAAGCAAATTTTTTACATGTCATGCACTAGCTCTAGTATGTTGGATCAAATTACTACACACTTTACACTGTTGTTGGGATTGGTGAATGTAGACTTGCTTTGTATTTTAAAAATATTTGGTTTGTCATTTCAGAGTTGTCAGACTTTTTAAGGTCAGATTTGATACAATATTTATATGCTTCAGGATATCCTCGTGCAAGTTTTTCTACAGAGTCATTTCTGATTTCTGATTAGATTCCTTCTTAATATTCCTTTTCATTCTCACCACAATTTCCATATGCACATTTTGAAATTTAAGGGCCTCTTACACAAATGATGTAAACATTAAAATGGCACAGAAATATATACTGCAGTCCAGTGTTCTCCCCAGGATTTTTTGATAGCGCTGTAGTAAGTGCGTGATATTAGATTGATTCACCTTATGCATTTGTGTCGTAATCTAACATTTGTACTGTCATGTTGGTTATATAGTATTAAATAGACATTAAAAAACCTGTTTTTTTTATATACATATATGCATTTACAGAAAGGGAAATAAGTTACATTTACATTTTATTTAGCATTGAAAATTAAAATGCCAAATAGTTTTAAGTATTTTGATTTGATTACCATCCCCTCCCCCCTGTGTTTTACATATATTTATATATTTCATTTACAACTTCATAATTTACTGACACATATACAAAGAAAGATTTTAATAACAAATTTAATGTTGATGATTTTTCTTTAACTTTTATTTTAAATGGATATCATACATCTTCAAATTTCAATCAGCGTGTACAATGGGTAAATTATTTCATATCAAAGAAAAAAATAAGCACACTTTCCAAAACATGTTAACAACTGGCTAACATATTCCAAGACATTTGGTTTCCGGACAATAACTTTAGTTTAAGTGTATGGATCTCTACGAAATTTAATCAAACGCTTCAATACCACAAAAGAAAGGTTGGGATTGTTTTTGGGGGTGATGGTCCCAACCGTTTAGGAATAAGGGCCAAAAAGGGGCCCAAAACAAGCATTTTTCTAGTTTCAGGACAATAACTTGTGTATAAGTATTTTGATTGCTCTGAAATTGTACCACATTTTACAAAAAGAAAATTTCTTCAAATGTTAATTTTTTTTTGGAAAGGGGGGTAAAAAAAGAAATTTTGGGGGGGGAGCAATTTTTTTCCCACAAGATTTAAATTTTGCTAATTCTTTGTATATAGTCTGAAAACAGATTTACTTAGTATTGCGCAACAGCACAGTGTATTGCACAAAAGCAAGAAATCTTCAATTGAATATAAACTCAAATCAAATAACCAATTTCAAGTTCTTTGACTACATTATGTGTCAGAAACCTATAATGTGTCAAATATTTATTTACAATCCAAATTCAGACCTGTATCAAGCTTGAATATTGTGTCCATTTTTTCCCCAACTGTTCAGGGTTGGACCTCTGCTGAGAATATTTCCACATCTTTCCTGAAATTTCTGTTTCTTTTTTATTCTTTGAAGTTTAAAACTTATAAAGAAATAGGTCTTTAAGACAGTCAAAGTTTTGACAATGACGCCATGTTTTTTATTTAATTGAACTGGCCCCTCTGATATTTGACACCGTAAGGTAAAATAAACAATCTTAGGCAAAACAACCAGGCAATCACGTGATGGAAATGGTACAGGTATACATGGGAATTTGAAAATTGTATAGCTTGTACAAGCGCTGTGTTGTGATTGGATACCGCTGCAGTCTGTCCCAATACCACAACACTGAATTGTGATAGTGCTGAATACCGCAGAGCTAAAACGGCCTGGGCCGAATACTGGCAGTCAATATGTATCAATTATTTCCTTGAATAATGCAGTATGTATTGAAATTTGTTTACCTTTCATTTCAACTCTAATTCATCTATAAATAGCACATGGATGTGAAAATTAAATGAATAAGTATCAGAAATCTGATGGACACAAAAGATGTGTGAAAAGATAGCCCATAATTACATGTCTATAACCCACTGTTAACAATTTAAAAAATCTGCAAATATAAAGATGTGGTATGAATGCCAATGAGACAACTCTCCACCAGAGACCAAATGAAATAGAAGCTAACAACTATAGGTCACCATACGGCATTCAACAATGAACAAAGCCCATACCTTTTAGTACCAGTGAGTTGTAAAAGGCCTTGAAATGACAAATGTAAAAAGATTTAAACATGAAAGCTAACAGCCTGATTTATGTACAAAACAAACAAAAACAAATTATAGTTACTTTCTCTGGAGAGAACATGGAAGTTGTTTATATACACCTGAATTCTGTTATTTATATCCATTATGTTTTAAACTATGTCTTTTTATTATCAGACTCCTGGTTATACAGTATCAAACTATATAGAAGACAAACAAATGTGGAATTCCATGCAAGGAGTTTATTCTCCACCATTTCCCAGTAAGGAGAATAAAGATTCTAAAAAACTCAGAAAATCACCTGCATTAACCAATCCTGAAGGTAAATACTAGTATGCCATGTACTATAAAAATGGATGTATATGTTATGGAAGTAAAGATTATGACTTATTTTACAAAAATCTTTTACTGGGTAAATGTGATGTCATAATTTAATATTTATAAATATATGTTTTAAGGTCAACTAATGTTTATGTAAGAAAGAAAAGATAATGAGTAAATGTCTGACCAGTTTAAAATTACATGATGGAAAAAAAAAATAAAATGAATTCCTATATAAGTAGAAAGAGATTTCTTATTTTTAAATTTTTATTTTCACATGATGTGTACCATTCAGAAGATTTTGTACAATTTATTAACATTTTTTTTTGAAACTGTGTTTCAGACCCTCAAAACCTTGGATGATTATGATCATCAGGAAAGCCTGTGATTGGGTGCAATTTCTGGGCAGTGGGGGATTGATGAAGTTTTCAATAAGAATAATAAAAAAAAAAGCCGAATAGCTAATAAACTGATCAAATGATACATTTTAGACCCCGGCCCCTTTACCTAACATAAATTGAACCGAACCACCTCCAAATGTAGCACAGTAATTACTAAATATAGAAACTTTTACAACAAAAAAATAACATAAAATTCCAAAAAACTCTCTAAAGTATAAGTTGCAATAGACTTTTGAGAAATGATGTATGTATGTTCCTTATGAGAATTTGATAACGCAAACAGCTATTATATTTGGCAAGCACTTTTATTGAAAATATATAATTAAACAAAAGATGGCACAGAATATTTCAATTCAAAATTATATTGGATGGTACACTCTTAATTAATGATTTGAATTTTTTTTTTTTTTTATTTGAAGCTTTGTGAGCAATTTGGGCTATTTCTAGTGTCTTGTATTAACTACTTTATATTGATATGATGAATATATAGATACTAATATTATAATTATCATGACGCTTCCAGGTTTTGTAGGAGAGGAAGCATGTCCTATACCAGAATCTAACATAGGCAATAAAATGTTACAAAGTATGGGATGGAAACCAGGATCAGGTCTTGGAGCAGAAGGAGAAGGCATACAAACACCAGTTCTAGCATACAGAAGACTAAGAAGAACAGGATTGGGTCATTCCAAAACAAAACAGAAAAAATCATAATACCAGATTTAATTATTCTACATCATTATCATATGAATTAAGTGGTCATGGTTGTTCTTGTTAATCAGAAAATTTAAAACTAGTTGACATTTTTTTACTTTAGTGACTGTTTTAAATTTTATGGGGGAGGAAGAAAATTTCCTGACAATTTTTTTCTAACTGACATTTAAGTTAGCTAATAAACAAGTTCCCATAATCAGTAGCAATACACAAAAAAATATGGAGGGAAAAATGTCACACTTTCTTTAAGATATTTCCTGGATTGTTGCCAATTCTTTAAAACTTTGAATTTAGAACAGTACAGAGTTCTATTTAATTTGAATGAATGAACAAAAAGACAAGATCTGATATGATTACTGTTTTAAATTATAAAAAGAATTCTGAAACTATGGAAATATATAAACAAATTGATGAATACATAATGCCAATCTTTTTTCAAATTTTATCTCTTAATAATGATGATTAGATGCAGTTTGCTTAAAAAGTTCAATATAAACAAATATTTCCATGACAACTTTAGAAATAAAATGTCTGAATACGTAGGATGTTTTAGTACAATGATTTATTATGTCTTCATATACCAGTCTACATTAACAATGATAAGGATTTTAATTATATAATGTATTTTTAAGAATTGAATGCATATTTTTTTAATATAGATTTCACTTTGTTTTTAAAGTAATGTCTACATTGTACTTCAAAAAGATGCCTTGGATTTTTTTCCTATTGAATACATTGAAGGCAGTGATCTCTAGTTGTTTACATAGTTATCCATTGGTCTTTGGTTGTTGGTTGTCTCATTGGCAGTCATACCACAGTGACTTATTTTTATATTGCACTATTTCTCTTATCACTGAATTCAAATGTTTACCCCTAATTTTAATTCCATGCATATTAATTCTTTAAAATTTTAAACTAGAACATAACACATTCCAACTGATTATAAAAAAATCATAATGATGAAGTGTGGTACAAGAAGGAAATTTTTCACATCTTGGGCTTAGGCAAGATTAGTTTTCATATTCAAGCTGCTAAAGTCTGACTGGATGAAGCTAAAAGACAAATATTTGAACAATGTATGTAATTGCAAGACTCCCTTTTGAACCCCCATTTATATGTCTCTGCTTATTCTGTCAATAGTGGGGGGTTCAAAAGAAAGTCTTTCCTATAATTCTAGTGTAAGCACAAAACATAGTATCAATTGAGAATACTTTTTATAGTCCCAAGTCAGTATCAATATTCTTGTTCTGTTAAATTCTTCACACCAAAGTCATTACTTTTTTTTTATTAAGGAAGAGATTTTGAAATTTTTTGCATTTCTCTTTCTCTTCAGAAGTTACTATTATAAAGCCATGCTTTTCAAAGCTATTTGAAATTTTACTGGTTTAACCAAGGGTAGAGAAACTTCTGCATGTGAAACTGTAATGGTTTTATGAATGAAAGGAAAACTTGGGCACAAGAAACTACTGGTTTACCCAAAGAAATTACCACCAGTTACTGTTGAAATGTTCTGAGGTCTTGGAAATAAACATATTAATGCATTATAGCATTTTTATCAATCTTTATGTAAAGTGCTTACTACAACAATAATCTTAATGTAAATGATTAAATGAATGATGTTATTAGGTAGTGTTTTGTATTTTAAAAAGGATCTTTTGGGTCTTAGACACCAACATAAGTCTGCAAGGGTAACTAGAATCAATGGAGATGATTATTCATTTATAGAATTTTCTTGTCCTATCTGTCTACATTTTAACACCTGATTACCTTGGATTTAAATGATGTCAGCAAGACTTTTTTTTAAATAAAAAAGAAGTTGATGTTTTCTCTGATCTTTAATGATGGTCAGATCTATGTAATTTTGGTTTATGTCTCTATTGAAATTGTGCCACATCTTATTTTTGTACAAAATTGCACAAGTAGACAAAATTTGACAAGACATCAAAGCAAAGAAAATGTAACATATTTGATTGGAGTTACAATTTGTATAAAGTTTTTGTTTAAGATAGAAAATTTTAATAGTGCAATAAATTTGTGAAAGTTTCCATTTTGTAATAAATTTTGCAAGTTGTGATGTCATATGTCATGGAACAGTAAATGGGCTATGTCACAGAACTGTAAATGGGCTATGTCACAGATTTTGTTACAAAAATGCATACAACTTTGTTGACTTTACACGTTGAAAATCGAAAAAAATAATTTATTTAAATGTTATACTGCTAAAATATGACTTTTTTTTAAAAAGAAAAATCCTTGAAATAGTTCAACATTTATATAAAATGTACATAAAATCTGTCCAAATTATCTTTATTTTTAATACATTTGTCCAATGATTATTTTCTATCAGTAAAACAGAAATTTATAAAACCAGCAACCTATAAATGTTTATATCTATGCAATGGAGTTTGATCATATAAAAGACAACTAAAAGAACATTTTTCACAGATTTTATGTGTTTTCAATATGAATGTACATCTACTTTAAAAGAATAACTTCAATAATATTTCAGAAAAAAGAAGAGATTAATGCATTACTTTTGGATATTTAGTTCAAGTTTACCATACTGTGGCTGTGTGCAAAATCTTATAAAAATCTTTGATATGACCCATATACAGTAACTTGACCTTAAACATTGTTTTTACCCTTTACTAGAAGTAGATACATGTAGTACAAATGTGAAGATTTAATTGTTGTATTCAATTTTATATGAATGTTAAATGTAATATTTTTTTTATTATAATTGAATGGAATTTTATTGTCTTGTCTGCAACAAATCTCACAGAATGCTAGGCTGAGGAATGCTAATCAAACGGTATAAACTATTTGTGAAATGCTTTATAGTTTAGAATGTAGAAGACTTCATATCTTGTATACAGATGCCTCATGAGTTCTGAAGTTTCTCTCTTTTCTCCTTGACCTCATTTTAATGTTTCGTCAACTTTTTTTTATCACGTAAATTTTTCACTTGTTATGAGCAAAAGGATAACTATATGTAATGTTTAGGATTGACCTTGATCTCATTTGATAGATTAGTGATCAAAGTTCAGATTTCATTGTTAAATCCATATCACAGATAATATAAGCAAAAGGTCAACTATATTTGATGTATAGAATGATTGTAGATGTAAATGTCTGTCTGGTAGAGTTCATCTGACCTTGACCTCATTTTCATGGTTCATTGGTCTGTTTCCATTTCTCTACTACTTTAATTAATAGGTCAACTATATTTGGTGTTTGGAATGATAATCAGGTGTACATGTATGTCTGTCTGTCAGGGAGTGCTTCTGATTTTTTACCTCATTTTCATGGATCATTAATAATGTTAAGTTTATGTGATAAATGTAGTAAAACTGTTATCTTAAAGATTTCAACACCATAAAAACCAATCTTGATCAGTTAAACAGACAAGACAATTATATGAAATACTTTTTACATAACAAACAATCCTGATAACTTAAACAGGCAAGACAATTATATGAAAGACTTTTAACAAAATAAACAATCCTGATAACTTAGTGTGTGCACTTTTGTTAAATGTTTATTTTTTAAACAATTACCTGTATGTCATTATTTTGAAAAAGTTTAAAGAAATTTGGAGTTCTGTTGTAAGAAGATTGTCTAATTAATAGTCATACAACATCTTCTTATTCTTTCTGTTATGTTGTGTCCCTTACTGATTAGGTAATTTTTGAAGTTCAATATTTTTAAATCAGTTTTATCTAAAACTGGATATATTTTTTTTAAAGAATATGGAAACCATGTGCAATATATATTATTTTAAAAATATTGCTAAAAATTTGCTATTGAGAGATGATAAAAGGAAACATTATCACAAACATTCAGTTAGTCATGGAAAGCTGTAAATGTTTCTGAAATGAAAAAAAAAAATATTCAGAAAAAGGTTGAAATCGATTACCAAATTTATTTTTTGTGTCACAGTACATAAGCTCATACAATGTTGAAATATTTAGATATAACAATTTGGTATATTTATTGTCGAGCCTGCGACTTTTGTCGCAGAAAGCTTGACATAGGGATAGTGATCCGGCGGCGGCAGCGTTAACTAACTTCTTTAAAGCTTAATATTTCAGAAGGTAGAAGACCTGGATGCTTCATACTTTGTATATAGATTCCTTATGATATGAAGTTTCCGTCTGTCATATGTCCATTGTCCTTGACCTCATTTTCATGGTTCAGTGACTACTTGAAAAAAAAAGTTAAGATTTTTTGTAATGTTAATTTCTCTCTTATTATGAGTAATAGGATAACTATATTTAGTATGTGCATACCTTGCAAGGTCTTCATGTCTGTCAGACAGTTTTCACTTGACCTTGACCTCATGTCATGGATCAGTGAACAAGGTTAAGTTTTCGTGGTCAAGTCCATATCTCAGATACTATAAGCAATAGGTCTACTATATTTGGTGTATGTAATGATTGTAAAGTATACATGTCCAACTGGCAGGTGTCATCTGACCTTGACCTCATTTTCATGGTTCAGTGGTAATAGCTTAGTTTTTGTGTTTTGGTCAGTTTTTCTAATACTGTATGCAATAGGTCAATTATATTTGGTGTATGGAAATATTTTACGATGTACATGACAGTCTGGTAGGTTTTATTTGACCTTGACCTCATTTTTAGGGTTCATTGCTCAATGTTAAGTTTTTTTTTGTGTTTTGGTCTGTTTTTCTAATACTGTAAGCAGTAGACCAACTATATTTGGTGTATGGAAATATTTTACGATGTACATGTCAGTCTGGCAGGTTTAATTTGACCTTGACCTCATTTTCACGGCTCATTGCTCAATGTTAAGTTTTTGTGTTTTGGTCTGTTTTTCTTAAACTTTAAGCAATAGGTCAACTATATTTGGTGTCTGGAATTATTGTAAGGTGTATATGTCAGTCTGGCAGGTATCATTTGACCTTCACCTCATTTTCATGGTTCATTGGTCAATGTTCAGTTTTCCTGGTTTACTTTGTTTCTTAGATGCTATAAGCAATAGGTCAACTATATTTGACGCATGGAATGATTTTAAGGTGTACATGTCTGTCTGGCAGGGTTCATCTGACCTTGACTTCATTTTCATGGTTCATTGGTCAATATAGAATTTCGATGGTTTTGTCTGTTTCTTTTATACTATAAGCAATAGGTCATCTATATTCTGAGTATGGAATGATTGTATTAAAGGTGTACATGTATTTCCGCCTTTGTTTATCTGACCTTAACCTCATTTTCTTGGATCATAAATGTTAATGTGAAACTTGTAGTATAACTTTATATGTAGGACTATCAACATAAAATCAATGGTCAGTATAGTAGGTGAGACATTTCAGCATGTGCACTCTTGTTTTTCCATATAAATGTGTTGTAATTCCAATTTAGAGTGTTTATGGATTTTCAGTGCCATTTTGTTTAAATTGCTTTTTAAGTCTACATGACTTCTTTTAAGGAAACAAAATTGATGCAAAGACTTCAATTATGAGAAAAAACCAAACCATTATAGATTACTTAAAGATATAATGAAATAAAAACATGAGTGATCATATGTATTCACATGTATTAAGAAATAATGAGCTAAAACATGAGTGATAATATGCATATACATGTGTTAAGAAAGAATGAGATAAAAACATGAGTGATTATATGTATTCACATGTATTAAGAAATAATGAGCTAAAACATGAGTGATAATATGTATATACATGTGTTAAGAAAGAATGAGATAAAAACATAAGTGATTATATATGTACACATGTATTAAGAATTATTGAGATAAAAAAATGAGTGATTATATGTATACACATGTATTGAAATATATATGTAATAGACTGTATTGTGTTGTTATAGGTCAAAGGTAAAAATCACCAAATATTCTGGAAAAAAGACATTCAAGTTATTTAAAATTGCAAAGATGCAATCCTTTTTGTTAATCCTTAATTATAAATTTAATTATATTTTCCTAGCTAAACTTTAACAAAGTTCCAATTTTCAGATGTCATTTCTCTCATTGCTATTTATCTCAAGGCACAAATAACAATATAAAAAGATCCAAATAAACCTTAAAATAAACAGCAGTTCATATAAAAATATTTCTCTTAAAAATAAGAATTATTAAAGTACATGTGAAAATGTTTTATAACTTTTTAATGCTATGTTTGTATACTAGATACCGATTAGTTACTGTTGTTTGTTATGTTTTATGAGAAATACCTTACTGACATTTTATTCCTACACATTAGAGAACATTTTATTTTGATACATTTTGTGATAGTCATGTCATCTTCATTAGTAAATTTATTTTTACATTAGTCAATATTAAATAATCCTAAAACTGTGTTTATTTCTTTGTACAATGTACAGACATATTTTGATTAGCAGAAATGGTTGTTTGGATAAGGATTGTTCAATGTTGCAGAACTTCCCTTCTTGGTTATCAATGTTTGTTATTTGTGAAAACATCATTGAATCATGGGGTTTAATTATGATGGTTTATAGATAAATACTTTCAGACTAAATGGAAATTAATAATTTTGTTGAGCACTAAATTTTGTGGTGTGAGAAAATCCAAGAAATTCAAGAAAATTTGTATCCCACAATTATAATACTTTCACTGTAAATTGTTACTTGCTACAAAAGCTGAGTGGTACTATTGGCAAATTGTTTTTTTTTTTTTGGGGGGGGGGGGTAATTTATTGCTTATACCCCCTGCTCCAAAGGAGTGGGGTAAACTGTTTTAACCCGGTCATTCCATCCATCTAACCTATCAAAATAACTAAAAGGCGAGACATATCTCTGTGTTAACAGTTTATTCTAGGAAAGAACAAGTAAGAGTTTCCTGAATATCAGTCTTCATGTGAACATGCTATACTGTATGATGCATTTTCACATTCATTCCTCTTCAAATTCCTGTTTACTGTATACATATATATTATTACACATAATTACCAATAATGTGTGTTGTGTTTTCCCATCCATAACTTTTTATCTTTCTGTTTACAGAATCCTTACGTATCATAAGTGAACAATAGTTCAGTTCAACTTGTTTTGACTTTCTTGTGCAGTGTTGTGTTTTGTGAGGTTCAAATCAGTCTCAATATATTTGTGTATTGTTTAATCTTGCTAGTTACTGATTACATTTTGTATATTCTGTTCTTTTTCAAATTATCTTTAAGATTGTATTGGAGATTAAGTACACAAAAAAAAATACATGATTGGTAGTATGGCATGCTATATGGGCATACATAAGCCCTTACAACAAATCTTAATGATTGATTGATCGATTTTCTGTGCAGATTGTATAAATATACTATGACTTCCAATTAAGGAAGCCAACTCCAAGGTTAATAGTTATTTATAACTGAAATTGATGCAACATCACTGACAACATCTTGACAACACCTATTTTTGAATGGCGTTTAGGAGTGAAATAACAAGATTTATTCCATATGTGAATATACTGGTTTTTATTTTATTGGGAGATCAAAGAATTCAAAATTTGTTGCACTACCGAAATGGGAGATTGCTCCAGTCTGCCAAATGAGAATTGAGAATATTTATCTGATAGTATACTTATATATTTTGAGTTAAATGTACATGTATTTTGAGTTATAATTTTTAGAGCTTAACAAGAAGACAAACAAAGGAATAATATAATAAACTGTAGCAAATTAAAATCGTCATTCTCACCCTTCATCTAACTTGAAAGTGGTTGTTCAGCCAAAGCTAGGAAAACATCAGAGGGGTTGCAAATACTAAGACAAGTTGAAAACATGAGAGACAAACATCAATAAAAGACAGGTGAGACGCTTACATCAATACAAGACATGTGAGACGCTTACATCAATAAAATTAGAACTTCCCAACACAATAACCTATATGACATGTCATGTCTTAGTACTGCCAAAAAAAACATCCTTTTTGGATATGTCATGTCTTAGTACTTCCAAAAACAAAATCATATTGGATATGTCATGTCTTAGTATTTCCAAATTCAACAACCTATAGAATATGTCATGTTTTAGAACATAAAAAAGCAAACATTTTTTCACAAAATTTTATTATTGTTACTATAATCATGTAAACAATTGCAACAATTAGTAAATATAGTACATAAATAATAAACAAAACCAAAAAGCAAATGTGTAACTGAATTAAATAGATAAAAAAGAACTAATTAGCTTATAGGACAGAAAATTACAACAATACAACATCTGTTTAACAAATGAATACAAAATGTTTTATGGGACTGTAGTAAATATTGTCAGAATTTAGCTGCCAGTTGTTACTTGTTAAAACTAAAAGAAAGTATAGCCTTACGTTTTATTTGAAAGATCATCCTGAAAGGATGTGTAAACATCAAATATATATATTACCACATGTTCTAAATACAATGTAGTGAGAAACAAATGCATAAAAGAAATACTGCTATCAGTATAGCCTTTGGATAACCTTCCGGAGTTTAGGTGCAAAGGTATAGTCTATTTGAAAACAGTAACCAACAATAGAAGTCTTTAACAACAGACAAGTGTCAAACCAAATATCAAGTTCTAACATCAGCCCCACACTGAGTATAGACAAACTGTGAATCTAATTAAAGATTAACGCTCAGGATAGGGACTTGCAGGTATACATGTAGCAGAGTATATCTTTTGAGAACTCCCTTAACATTATAAAATGTACAGTAGTGACATTCTAGAAACAGTAGTGGAACCTAAATATATTTTTCGATGAAATAATCTCCATGGAAATGAGATATATATGCCAATGACCTACCACTAGTGGTTCCTTTTAAACTGACCTTATCACAAACTAATACATAAAACTAAGGTAAAAGTTGCAAAGGCAATTAACCAAGACTAAGGGGGCAGCAACTAATCTCCATGAAAATGTGATGTGCCAATGCTAATACAACTGCATACCAAATATTGACTTAACACTAGTGGTTCTCTTAAAACCAAACTATGACAAACTAAAACATTGTTATTGCTGCCATTACAAAACTTAATTGAATGGATGTGTAAAATAGAAAATGTACAATGGCATTTTGTATGAAAATTTCATTGAAATAGGTCATCGTTTATATGGAGGAATTATGGATACATGATGTCTACATCATTTGTAGATATGACATGTTATGCCATAAGAAATTTGTACCAAAAAATAAAATAGGCTGGTACACAACAGTATTAGATACAAAATGTCATTGAAATGCAGTCTCTTATTAATATAGATATCCTGACAAAAAGTGATGAAGACACACAAAATAGCAACCGAATGAAACAAAAAATGAATACATTGTCACTATGTACTGTCGTTTCAGAAAGTAAGGAATAAAAGATAAAAAAATTAAAGTAGCTTATATAGCTGCCATTTATATGAAGGTAGCAATCCTTACTTGTGAATAAATTTTCTAAATACTTTATGGTTTTAAATGTGATGAATAATGTATAGTGTATATTTTTTAAATAAAAATGATTTTCACAAAAAATTTTGCAAGTAAATATTTACAGCAATGTAGGGAAGGGAGGAAGAAACCAATCAGTTATGTCTGAATATAAAGTTTGAGTGATAAAAAAAACATGAATACTTCTAAAAAAAAATTCTGTAAAACTTATTGATTGGTAATCAACACCACTATTGTGCTATTTTGTGGCGTTCAGTTTTTATTGGTGGAGGAAGCCAGAGTGCCCAGAGAGAACCACTGACCTTCTGTAGGAAAACTAACAATCCTTGTCAATTAAGATTGGAGTTGAGATCACCTGTCACATGCAGTATTTGAACTCATAACCTCAGTGTTGACAGGCTAGTGATACAGTAGTTAAACAACTGAGACCACTCGGCCACTGAGGCCCCAACTTTAAACTTAATATCTACTAGTATCTCTTCACACAAAAGCAGCAGTCACAAAAGTTCATTTAAAAAATATCCATTACTTTGAAAACTGCTCTTCTAAAAAATAATTATCACAAAAATACTAAATCCCTGAGAATAAGTTTGAATAACAAATATATCATGAAGATGTCCATGGTGTGACTTATTACACCATCAATATACAGGTATACCTTTATTTTCAGTTGATTTTGTTGTAAATATCAATATTCATTTCTGATAAAGTACAGTGTATTGTGTTGAATTTATTTAGTCAGTCTTACTAATCTTTTTATATCTTATTCAATATAATGGAATTTTATACGACTGTCATACTAGTGAGAGGGTTTGCTGGCTATAAAAATATAATGGAATGTCATGCGACTGTCATACTTGTGAGAGGTTTAGCTAGATATAAAACCAGATTTAATCCACCATTTTTTACATGAGGAAATGCCTGTACCAAGTCAGGAATATGACAGTTGTTTTCCATTTGTTTGATGTGTTTTGAGTTTTTCATTTTGCCATTTGATAAGGGACTTTCTGATTTGAATTTTCCTTGGAGTTCAGTATTTTTGTTATTTTACTTTTAACTGATGGGGATACAAGTCAAATCTTGATAATTTAGGTCTTTTCAAATTTTCATTGTTTGTTCATATCACTTCATTATAAGACTCAGAGGTCTCACAAATCTGATGATGAAAATATATTATTTTTGGTATTTTTTATCATATCTTCTCCATTCTGGGAGGTAAAATTAACACTTGAAATTTAAGCTCTGTTTAAGTGAAATATAAAGAGGAATAGTATTGTGCAATATTTTGTTTGTTCCTCTTTTTTTTATCTCTCTGTTTAAGACATAATTGCCTCTTTTGATATTCTTTATTTTTTTATTTGGGGAGGTTAAAAAAATTAAAACAACACTATATAAATGTAATGCCTCTGATGCACTTTTCTGGATTTACCTTCATCAGGAACACTCAAAGATATATAAGAACCGAAACAGATGAAGTTAAACTTGCAGCAATTCTGTGAGGTTATAGAAATTATTTATTTACTTTGGCTTTGATTTAATTTCTAGTGTTCCTTTGAAAAGGACTTTTATATATACATATCACAAATTTAGGAATTGTTTAGAAAAAAATATGATCTAAGTTAGGCTGCGGATATATTTCATGTGACATGAGGTAATACAGAATAAGGGCCTGATAAAGTGTTTGCAACTGTGACTGATATAGATATCATCACAGATGGCTGATACAGAATGATTGTCATTGATTGAATTACACATAAAATTTACTTGCATTTAATACTAATGTATATATCAATTAAAACATAAAGACAAAGTGTGGTAAGATATTGTGTAGTTAGACTGCTGTTTATATACTGTAAAGTAAAAATACAAAAAAATTATGATTTACAAAAACATCCCACATATTTCATTTATGATATAAACATTATAAAAAATAAAACATGAAAAATTACATTACAAAAAGGCCTGAAAAATGCCCTTTACAAAAATTAGCTTTGCAAAAAACAAAACAAATTAAAAACCCAAAAAATGCAAACAAACCATATTGTAATATTATTTTATGTCAGCATTTGGATACACTTGGCAGACAACATTCCTCCAATAAACATACTCATTATAGTTCCTATAGATAAGCTATTTAATAGTCCCATACCAGATATTCCATGTCCACTGAAAAGAACAAAAAATGTATAAACAATACAATACAACTTCATTCAAGTATCCATTCAAGCATACTTTAGCCAATTCTACAGATCGACAATGATGTTTTTATAATCTCATATTTAATCTTGACCTTTAAAATATAATTATGAAAAAGAGCATAATCTGTAGCGGTTTGTATTCATTTGTTGTTTGCCACTAGAAGTTCAAAAACCAGAAGACTAATATTCTGAATATGCCATTTATACTCTTGCCAGGTTAATACTGCTGGACTATCCAAAAAATAAGTAATTAAACTCCCTCAGTCAAGATTGAATTAAGTTAGTTTTTGGCTGTCCTGGTTATCATGCTTTCCAAACTTTTATCTTGAGCATACCTAATTAAGGTTATTTCATAAACATGTCTCATGTCCACTAAAACTGGTATCATATGTTCTCTTCTTCTGGACAACAAATGTTACAAAACCTTTACATTTTATATCTGAATAACAAGCATTTTGTAGATTTTTTTTGCAAATCCTGAAAACTCAAAAAAAAAGTACCTTGTGCAACCTTCAGCAAGTCTTGCCCCAACAATAATTAATACACCACCAAAGAATGACATTAGTGCCGATTGGCCTTCTATAGTTCCATATGTCCCAGACAATTGAGATGAAGAACTGGCTCCATGGATGGCTGCTACAACAAACACCACCTAAAATAGAATATATATTGTGTTTTTTTTTTTGTCACAATTTATTCTTAGGGTTAATTTTTTTTATCTGAAACTATTGTTAATTCAAATATGACATTCTTCTTTTGCTTTGGAAACAAAGCCATGTTCTAATTCCAATAGAACATGGACTACACATGATTGACGTCAATTGAAATTGCAATGTCAGTTGTTTTTTTAACAACGCCGGAGATCAAAATGGACATTTGTGTTGGTGTTGCTCACTAGGAAATTAAATAAAATCATTATAAAAGTAAGTTTACATGTATCTGTTCATTGTTTTATTCTGAAACAGTTGATTTTCTAATATGTTTTGGCTTCATCAAATCAAAATGACTGCCTTTCGAACATGTACTATAGGTCTGCTTCGTTGTACATAATTTCAAAATTTTCCTATTAGGACTGAAATAATCCTATCATGCCATGCTCTATGCTCATTTTAACATGGGTAGGCATTATATTTGTCAACATTCTATCTCTGTATAAAGATATTGACAAATATAATGCCTACCCATGTTAAAATGAGCGTAGAGCATGGCATGGAAGAATTATTTCTTAAGCAATCCCTGTTTAAGTATAAGCACTGAATGTGAAACATCAAAGTACCAACATAAATGGTAACAATAGTTTCACTTGAATATGTAGACTCGGTCAGTAGTAACTTGACAAACCATGAGATTTTAGTGTTTGTTTGTAGACTCAGTCAGTAGAATATCACTTAAGCTTTCTTGATTGAAAAGTCAACATATAGTCAATCAAATGAACAACTAATAAATGGAGAATGTGTCCATGGGACACAGATGATGCCCACGCTAGCATATAATGTTATAAAGGGACATAACGCCACCCAAATTCGAACTTGATCTGAGTTTTGTAGTAATAAGCATTGTGTGTAAGTTTCATAACATTTGGTTGAGCCAAACTTAAGTTACAGAACGGAAACCAATTTTGGGACGTACGTACAGACTGACAAGGGTAACACTTAATGCCCCTTCTGGTGACGGCGTGGTTATAAAACATAATCAATTAAAACTTATGTTTCATAATTTTTTTACATTGCATTTTTTTTTTTTTTTTTGTAAAAAATGCTGCCAATTATTTTTAAAATTTAAAATTGTGTATTTAATTTGATGCATTGATGATACAAATCCCCATCCTGTAGACATTATCAAATCTACATTTCTGAGAATTCATATGTAGGTTATACCTGGGACATACGCTGGCATAACTGTGGCGTATTTAAACTAGAAAGGTGATCTAGTCATCACAGATACCCAGCCTGCAGCAACTGAAAGATCAAGATTTTGTTTAGTGGTCCAAAACATTTCTTTAAAATTTCAATCAATCTCAAAAAGGGATTCTCTGTTTCTTATCTGGAAACACACAATACAGTATCATAACTCTGGAACAGTAAAAGCAAAAACAACAAAAATAAAAAAAAATCTGTCATTAGCGGTCCAAAACATTCCATTAATGTTTCAATTCATTTCAAAAAGTGGTTCTCCATCATTCATCTGATACCAAAAAGTTTGAATTTTTCAAACAATCAAGTACCATAACTCTGGAACGACAAAAGCGAAAATGAGAGAAATCAAACGTCCTCTGTCTTCAGTGGTCCAAAACCTTCCATTTTAATATAAAATAATTTCAAAAAGTGTTTCTCTATTTATCACCCTTTGGAAACCAGCAAATTTTGAATTTTTCCAACAATCAAGAAACAATACCTCTGAAATTGTAAAAGTGAAAATGACAAAAAATCAAACTTAACCTTTCTGTAGTGGTTCATAACATTCCATTAAAATTTAAATTAATTAAAAAATAAATGGGGAATGTGTCCATGGGACACAGATGATGCCCCCGCTTGCATATCTGATATCATATAACATTATAAAGGGACATAACTACAAAATTGTATTAGTGAAGCTACCCAAATTTGTACTTGATCTGAGTTTTGTGGTAAAAAGTATTGTGTATAGGTTTCATAACACTTGGTTGATGCTTACTTAAGTTAGAGAACGGAAACGAAAAATTCAGCAAGTTTTCCACTTGTAAAGAGGCATAACTCTAGAACAGTAAAAGTGACACCACCAAAATTCAATCTTGATCTGTATTTTGTGGTAATAAGCATTGTGTATAAGTTTCATAACATTTGGTTGAGGCAAACTTAAGTTAGAAAACGGAAACGAAAAATTCAGCAATTTTTCCATTTGTAAAGGGGCATAACTCTAGAATGGTTAAAGTGACACCACCAAAATTCAAACTTGATCTGTGTTTTGTGGTAATAAGCATTGTGTATAAGTTTCATAACATTTGGTTGAAGCAAACTAAAGTTAGGGAACGGAAACCAACTTTGGCACGTACAGACGGACGGACGTACAGACGGACAAAGGTAATACTTAATGCCCCCTCCGCTACGGCGGGGGCATAAAAACCTATTCTCTATTTTTAATTTTTTACTTTTTCACATTATGTGATGAGAACCTTTCAACCAATGGTTTTCAAATTTCCATAGGCTGTTACAGATAATTAAACTGGGTTTAATCAGAGATTGATGATTTCACTTTTTGCCATTTAAGAGTTATGGTCCTTGATTGATTAAAAGATTTTATGCGATAACATGAGAATGTTTGATCTACTCTTTTTCAAATTATGAAATGTTGTTTCAATGAAAAAATTGTGGTCAAAATGGTTTTTCACTTTTGTTGTTCAGAGTTATGGCCCTTGATTGCTTTAACAAAGACACTAATAAATGTAAGAAAAACCTATTTTGCTGTCATTTTGTAAGTAATTTATAAGTGGCAAATAGGCATGAAATGGACTGACCTTTAAACATCTTTTTGTTTTTCACTTATATTGTAAGGACACGGGGCACATGCTTACTATCTTGTATATTAAAGTCTGACAAACATACTGTCATATAAAATAAAAAGAAGTGTCTGTGCTTTTTTTTTGTTTAATAGACATTAATATTATAAATCATTTATTAAATAAAGACTTTTTTATTTTAAGAAAATTCAAAAGGAAATAATTATTTCATGTATTATTTGGTTTAAAACTTTTCATATAAAACACTTACTTGCCACCAATTAGACAATCCTGATTTAAATTTGACAAGATATGGTACTTTTTGTTTCATTTTATCTGTTACCAAAACTTGTGCCATCACTGTACAATAACTACTGCTAGCACCTAAAAGATTCAATAAATAATCATGTCATTGTTGTTTCAGTTCAAAAAATTACAAGGTTTATGATGTAACAAAGAAAAGAGTGCCAGATATATACTTTAAGCATATTTCAAAGTTATATTATATATTGTTTTTTTTCATTCTCAATATAAATTTCATAATGAATATTCTATTTCAATGTAAAATTGTGTACTTATAGAATCTACTACTGCATCAAGTGTGATACAATAATAATCCACTCGAGACAGTTATATTTTCAAATTTAATACGTGAGGCTCACCGAGAGTGGATAAATATTGTATTGCACGAGATTTGATGATGGAATCTGATTCTTTAATAATTTTTAGATGATATACAGACAATCTTAATTCTTCTTTTCAAATGATTGGCAAAAAGATGTGTTCTTTCTTTGTGACGTCATCAGGTATGGTTGCCTTTTTTCATGTTGTCACAATAGGAAATTCAGAGGAAAGCCAGAAAATTTGACGTCATAATCGTATTTTGACCAATGAAGAACTGAGATTAAATGAACCACAAGTTGAATAAATAAAATTATTACATTGATTTCCCAGTCAAATAAAAACCGATAATTTCACATGTGAAATAAACGTGGTTATTTCACTCTCTGACGTCATACAACAATACGCGTTGTCAAGACGTCGATTCAAAACAAATTGTGAATGCGTAGAAAAAAGATATAGTTCCTTACATTTTCTACATTAATTTCATTAAAAAAAGCCATTTGCCAATGTAATAAAAAGAATAACTAATCAAAGAATTCAAATATCGAAAAATATTCAACTCGTGACCGAACAACACTGATAATTAACTCATGCGCTACGCGCATTCGTGAATTAATGTGTTGTTTGGTCACTCGTTGAATATTTTTCTCTATTTGAATTCTTCGATTAGTTATTCTATAAATAATCAACAGGTCTGGAAAAAGATAAATCGGGTAAGAATTAGAGAAAGAAATATATGCCTCAGCCAGACATTTAACTTGATGTCTTAAATTACCAAATTTATATTAATGTGTTCCTTTAATTTAACAAGATATGCATAGAAGGCTGTAACATGGTTTCTATTACCTAATGTTAAGAATGCTGCAACATACAATTTGTGTGTTCTTTGCAATCATTGAGAACCTTTAAGTCAGTAAAAATCCAATTTGGAACCCAATCTATAAATATATTCCCTATGTCCAGTTAGTTTGAAAGGACATATCCCCAATAAAATTTCTGAAAAAAAATGGTTTCTCTTTTCAGGTAAAACTTCATCTTTCTAGAGATGATGTCACACACATGCACCTCATGTTTCAATAGAATTAGAACATGGCTTTATTAACAAAGCAAAAGTAGGGCGTCATATTAGAATAACACATGTTTATATCTCATCAAGTAAATAATTAAGAAACAGCTTTTGACTGAAAATAATATTAAAATAGAAGAAATTTCTGAGATATTCAAGTCCATAACTAAGTATTCATCTTTGACCTGAACATTTTTTTCTCAAATATTGTAGACAATATCCATTTATCAATATTATTATAATTATAACACTTTCTCTAATATAACTTGCCAAGAAGTCCACCTGCTATCAGGATCAATGGAACCTCAAGACTTCCAACTATTAAACCAGTAAAAAATGGTGGCCAACTTGATGCTTTCCACATGCTGGTACTCTCTGAATCCTTAATATGTGCAACACAAAAAAGAAAGATTTACCAATAGTCTTTCAAATTATATTTACACATCAATTACCAGTACAAAAATGTAGAACATTTACACTCTTTATTTAGGTGTTTACATGTATAAACCTTTGATCTATACATTCAATAAATGATAAAAGTATCTTTGTAACTTGGATCTATGTATAGGAAAGGACTGTAGCCACATTATGTATTTAAACTGTACTGCGCTGTATAATTTATCAAATGATATAATAAGAGGAATTTTTTAATAATTGTGACTTTGACTCTAAAGAAATGCACAAAATACAATCATTCAGTTTTAGTATATCAATAAGGATATCTAATATAAACTGGCTCACTTTGATGACTTGTCTGTGGTTTTTCTACAGCTGTTAGTTAAAATTTCTGGCAGTTTGATTTGAAAAAACAAATTGCAATTTAGTAAGAATTTTGAATGAACTGAAACACTTAGAATGAAGTCAGAGTAATTGACCTTTATTTGTATACAAAAAAAAAGTTTCAAACTAACCTTCACTTCAGTATCCCAGGGATAAACTATTTCAAGCGTAAAGACAATAACACTTAATATGGCTGCCACAGGAATTGCTGTAGTATGATATGGGGAGCCTAACAGATGGAATAAACTGAAATGTTATAAAATAATGCTGATAAAAATAAGAATGCACATTTTGCTATGCTAAGCAAACCCCTATTCATAATTCAAAGTATTGGAAAACAGGAAGGAGGTATTTGACAGCTCTGAAAAGTGCTTACACATTGCAACTGATGATGATGACTTAACATTAAGTCATTCTGTTGAGCACATTTTTTTTAGATAGGTGAAGAAATATTTAAAGTTCATTCAACATATTGAAAAATTCAATGTCTATGCAAACAGGAAGTTTGGTCTGACATACTAGAATAAAATGCTCCGCAGGGCGCAGCTTGATACGACCGCAGAGGTCGAACCCTGAACAGTTGGGGCAAGTATGGACACAACATTCAAGCTTGATACAGCTCTGAATTTGGATTGTGATTAAATATTTGACACAGCATAGGTTTCTGACACAGAATGAATGTGGTCTAAGAACTTAAAATTTTTAAATTGGACATTCACCTATTATGGTCCAATATCCAAAATCTAAATACATGGTTAGATTCAGTATATCAAAGAACCCCAAGAATTCAATTTTTGATGAAATCAAACAAAGTTTAATTTTGGACCCTTTTGACCTCAATGTGGACAAAGTTGATAATGGGGCCCAAAAATCAAAAATCTAAATACATGGTTAGATTCAGCATATCAAAGAACCCCATATATTCAATTTTTGTTGAAATCAAAAAAAGTTTAATTTTGGACCCCGATTTGGACCAACTTGAAAACTGGGCCCATAATCAAAAATCTAAATACATGTTTAGATTCAGCATATCAAAGAATCCTAAGAATTCAATTTTTGTTAAAATCAAACTAAGTTTAATTTTGGACCCTTTGGACCTTAATATAGACCAATTTGAAAACGGAACCAAAAATTAAGAATCTAAATACACGGTTAGATTCGGCATATCAAAGAACCCCAATAATTCAATTTTTGATGAAATCAAACAAAGTTTAATTTTGGACCCTTTGGACCTCAATGTGGACCAATTTAAAAACGGGGCCCAAAATCCAAAAACTTAATACACGGTTAGAATCAGCATATTAAAGAACCCCAAGAATTCAAGAATAAAACCCCATTGAAATTGGTCAAGAAATAAGCAATTTATACGAAGTATCTTCTTTTGCACAATACTGTGCAATTGAATATTTCTTGCTATTGCGCAATACTGTACAATTGACAATTTCTTGCTATTGCGCAATATTGTGCTATTGGATATTTCTTGCTATTGCACAATACTATGCAATTGAAGATTTCTTGCTATTGCCCAATACTGTGCAATTGAAGATTTCTTGCTATTGTGCAATACTGTGCAATTGAAAATTTCTTGCTATTGCACAATACTTATTATATAATAATTTACACATCCTGTTTGGTGTGTATCTCCTACCATATCATTATTATTTGCTTTTAAATATAAAACAGAAATAACCAACTTAAAATGGAAAATTTTAAAAGAAAAAAAAAAGGAAAAAAAAAAATCCCCCCCTTAAACTAAAATCAATCCCAGCATTCCCTGTGTGATATGGAACCTTGTGGTACAATTTCAGAGTGATCCATACACTTGAACACAAGTTATTGTCTGGAAACTAGAAAAATGCTTATTTTTGGCCCCTTTTTGGCCCCTTATTCCTAAACGTTTTGGGCAATTACCCCCAAACTCAATTCCAGCTTTCCCTTTGTGATATGTAACCTTGTAGTACAATTTCAGAAAGATCCTTACACTTACACACAAGTTATTATTATGAAACTAGAAAAATGCTTGTTTTTTGCCCCTTTTTTGGCCCCTAATTCCTAATATTTTGAGGCAATTACCCCCAAAATCAATCCCAGCATTCCCTGTGTGATATGGAACCTTGTGGTACAATTTCAGAGAGATCCATACACTTGAACACAAGTTATTGTCTGGAAACTAGAAAAATGCTTATTTTTGGCCCCTTTTTGGCCCCTTATTCCTAAACGTTTTGGGCAATTACCCCCAAACTCAATTCCAGCTTTCCCTTTGTGATATGTAACCTTGTAGTACAATTTCAGAAAGATCCATACACTTACACACAAGTTATTGTCATGAAACTAGAAAAATGCTTGTTTTTTGCCCCTTTTTTGGCCCCTAATTCCTAATATTTTGAGGCAATTACCCCCAAAATCAATCCCAGCATTCCCTGTGTGATATGGAACCTTGTGGTACAATGTCAGAGAGATCCATACACCAACACACAAGTTATGTCTGGAAGTTACAAAAATGCTTATTTTTGACCCCTAATTCCTTAACTGTTGGTACCATAACCCCCAAAATCAATCCCAACCTTCCTTTTGTGGTATTGAACCTTATGGTAAAATTTCATAGAGATCCATTCACTTAAACTAAAGTTAGAGTGCGAAAACCAATGTGTCTTCAGACGACGCCGGACGACGCCGACAACGACGACATGGCGACGCCAACGTCATACCAATATAAAAAGCGCTCGCTATCAAACTGCTAACCAAATAGGAAGTTATTCTGTGCAGCGATATATCTGAGAAATGTGTGACAGAAATAATTGTTGGATGAACAAACAGACAGAGGAACAGACCAGACTAATGCAATATACCCAACTTTTAGAGTGAGGGTATAACTATACATTTATATAAAAAACACCAATGCTAAATCAATAAACCAATATTTGTTGATATCAATTAAAAAAAATTCACATCAAGAAATAATATCTTTCATTCTTCTTTCAGACTGCTAAGTTATTAGCTCAGTGAAAAATATACAATGTACATACAACTGATATTTTACTGGTTTGTTTGGTTTAGTTAATGACATCAAGGTTGGTTCCAAAACTCCATATAACAATGCCCCAGCTAACGTTCCAAGCAATGTATACACTGTAAAATAAAATATTTCATCATAAATCACAGTTGTATCTTGAAAGACCGTAAAAAGCAAACTTGAGTAAACATATTTGGTGTGAATCAATAAAACCTTAAATATAGTTCAGAGTGACTACTTTTCATACTATATTGTAGTACTCTATTAAGGTCAAGGTACAGTAAATACGCTATGGCACAAATTTTGGTAAATTTTGCATACAACTTTTGAACGTTGAACTATAACTATATTTAAAAAATGCATTAATATCCTTTATTTTCTGATGTTTAATCAAATGAATTCTTAAAAATAGATTAACAATTGTATAGAAAGCACATAAAATCAGTGAAAATCATTCTTAAATTTGTCTTAATTTCATCAAATCTCCAATCACCAATGAATTGATTTTCCTTAAAAATTGATATGTTGTTGATACATAAATTTCTGTTTTAATAAATATATAATAAACTGATGGATACTTCTTTTTTTCAGTCTCCATCAGACAAAGTGGTGTTCTAGGTGAAAAAAATACCACAAAATGTTGAAATAAGCATAAAGTCATCGTGTTGTTCATGAGCAAATAAACAGAAATTCATTATAAAAAAAAGAATATATTACTGTACTTACCAGCATTCTGTGTACCTGTGCCAAGCTGAGCAAATACAACACCTGGACACTGAAAAATATAAATATAGCTCCAATCATTATCTAATAAATCAACATAAAACTTAAGTGAAGGAATCAGAATGTTTTCCACAATATTTCATTTGATGTTGTTTCATAACCAATTTCCTTTCTTTTATAATTATATCTAAATTTGAGCTTAGATATTGTAGATTTATTATAATTATATATAATATTCCTGAATTTATCAACACAAAAATGGCCATGTTTACTCAATACTTAATACGAATTTTGAAGCTGTCGTCTTAGTTTTCATATCCATGCATTTGAAAAAAATAATCGATCAATCAAATGCTAGATTGCACACATTGTTTATCAAATAATGGAGAATGATCTAAACTGAACATTTAAGTATATGAAAATATAAAATGTAAAAAAAGGAAAAAAATCTTTAAACAACTTCATAATAGAATGTGCATAACCTCAATAGGTTCATAAACTCTCTATGAAGTTCCAAAGATCTTGGTTGAAAATAAAATTGTTACCATCTTTTGAAAAATTTTGCTGAAAAATCACTTAGTTCCCGAGTCTGGAAAAATGGGATGTTTTCCCCAAAAAATTCAATAATAACAAATGCAAAAACTTCAATAGATGTGCAATCAATCTGTGAAGATTCAAGATACTGGATGGAAAACTGTAGGAGGTGTTGATAACACAAAATTGGTATTGTCATTGTGAATTTTGCTAAAAAATGAAAAAGTTCCAAAGTTCCAAAAAATAGGAAAATATTATTCAAACAATTCTATAACAGCAGCTGCACAACTTCAACATGTGTGTAATCTTTCTATGAATTTTCAGTGATATGGTTTGAAAACTGTCACTGTAAGAGAAGTTAATTACAAGAAACTGGTACAAGCTTTCATAAATACCCGGTATTGCTGGAAAATTACCAAGATCCTAAGTCTGGCAAATGATGATAACCATTAGGATATAAAACCCCTTAACATCACAGGGATAACTTACTGTTCCACATATTGCCATTCCAATTCCAAGGATAAAACCACTTAACATCACAGCGATAACTTACTGTTCCACCTAATGCCATTCCAGTCCAAAGGATAAAACCACATAACATCACAGGGATAACTTACTGTTCCACCTAATGCCCTTTCCAGTCCAAGGGATGAAACCACCTAACATCATAGGGATAACTTACTGTTCCACCTAATGCCCCTTTTTTTTTTTGAACTTTGGAACTTTTTCATTTTTGCCTGGAATGGCATAAGGTGGAACCACCTAACATCACAGTGATAACTTACTGTTCCACCTATTACCATTCCAATTCCAAGGACAAAACCACTTAACATCACAATGATAACTTACTGTTCCACCTATTGCCATTCCAATTTCAAGGACAAAACCACTTAACATCACAGTGATAACTTACTGTTCCACCTAATGCCATTCCAATTCCAAGGACAAAACCACTTAACATCACGTGATAACTTACTGTTCCACCTATTGTCATTCCAATTCCATGGACAAAACCACCTAACATCACAGTGATAACTTACTGTTCCACCTAATGCCATTCCAATTCCATGGACAAAACCACCTAACATCACAGTGATAACTTACTTTTCCACCTATTGCCATTCCAATACCAAGGATAAAACCACCCAACATCACAGTGATAACTTACTGTTCTACCTAATGCCCCTTTTTTTTGGAACCTTGGAACTTTTTCATTTTTGCCTGGAATGGCATAAGGTGGAACCACCTTACATCACAGTGATAACTTACTGTTCCACCTAATGCCATTCCAATTCCATGGACAAAACCACCTAACATCACAGTGATAACTTACTGTTCCACCTAATGCCATTCCAATTCCATGGACAAAACCACCTAACATCACAGTGATAACTTACTGTTCCACCTAATGCCATTCCAATTCCATGGACAAAACCACCTAACATCACAGTGATAACTTACTGTTCCACCTAATGCCATTCCAATTCCATGGACAAAACCACCTAACATCACAGTGATAACTTACTGTTCCACCTAATGCCATTCCAATTCCATGGATAAAACCACTTAATATCACAGTGATAACTTACTGTTCCACCTAATGCCATTCCAAATCCAAGGATAAAACCACTAATCATCACAGTGATAACTTACTGTTCCACGTAATGCCATTCCAAATCCAAGGATAAAACCACCTAACATCACAGGGATAACTTACTGTTCCACTGTTCCACCTATTGCCATTCCATTTCCAAGGACAAAACCACCTAACATCACAGTGATAACTTACTGTTCCACCTATTGTCATTCCAATTCCAAGGATAAAACCAAATAACATCACAGTGATAACTTACTGTTCCACCTAATGCCATTCCAATTCCATGGATAAAACCACATAACATCACAGTGATAACTTACAGTTCCACCTATTGTCATTCCAATTCCAAGGATAAAACCACTTAACATCACAGTGATAACTTACTGTTCCACCTATTGCCATTCCAATTCCAAGGATATAAACACATAACATCACAGTGATAACTTACTGTTCCACCTATTGCCATTCCATTTCCAAGGACAAAACCACTTTACATCACAGTGATAACTTACTGTTCCACCTATTGTCATTCCAATTCCATGGATAAAACCACTTAACATCACGTGATAACTTACTGTTCCACCTATTGTCATTCCAATTCCATGGACAAAACCACCCAACATCACAGTGATAACTTACTGTTCCACCTAATGCCATTCCAATTCCAAGGATAAAACCACCTAACATCACAGTTACATAGCCTTTCCCTTGTAAGTCATTCACCAAAGTCTGTCTAGCATTCAGGAATTTCTGTCTGGTAAATGGCAGCATAGACAACACAGACATACAGAACATACCTAAAACAAAGAAAAAAAAGGTTATACTGTCAATTGTTTGAATATTCAAACTATTGAGTATCAATTTGTGATCTTGTTCCAGCTCCCACATTGCCACTTCTTTTCAATGGTTTATTGTAATTAGGTTGCACCGTCTTCAGCATTTGGGCAGGATGTCCTTTTTTACCAATCATTTAATTTATCTATTTAGAATTAAATTCCTTAAAATATATAATATTTTTGGCCATTTCAGTACATATATTATATATACTGTAAATTCAGAAATTATTGCGATGTTTTTATTATTGCGAAAAATGCGACAGGGTTATAATCGCAATAATTTAAACTCGCATTTTGAAATTTTTTATTTGAATTAAACAGGATTTTTCTCAACATCGCAAAAATTAAAATCGCATTTTAGTCTAAAATGGCAAAATCGCAATAATAAATGCACGCAATAATTTCTGAATTTACAGTATACTAACCTTTGTAAACACAAATCCTTTGATATTTTTGTATTAATTTGCATAAAACATGGTACAATGCATCTTTCATATGGATATACATATGTACATATGTGAATATATTAACATGTAGATAGAATATCCTGATCCAATCAGAATTTTCATTAGGGTAGGGGTGGTGGAGATTTTAGTACTACTTGGCAGACAGCTTGTTTATATTGCCAAGTCAACAAAATGAAACATGTAATTTCTCTTACAGTACACATATAGCACAGTTACTACTCATTCTAATGCAACACTGTTTACAATGTTCTTATGATAGGACAATGAGACAATTATCAGGTTATCAGTTCCACAAGTGCTGATAGTATCATGTAAATATTTTTTTAAATGTATGATTTAATCTCTTTTAGTTGCATTAGAACTAAGATAATAATTAAGATGCAGGCATTAATGTTTTATTTGAAGGTCTCAAATATCTGTTTCCTGGCACTGCTAACATGTCAAAAGTAAACTCAATTTGTGACCTTCAAATTTTCAATTGATGTTTGCAAATCTTAAAATAAAATACTGCTATCTTATAAGTAACAAACCTGAAATTACAGCTGATAAAAACATTTTCAGCATAACAAATCTCTTCATCAACATTTGATCAAATACAACTGATGGTTCAAATACTGTAATGACAAAAGTATTGTAGATATTATATTCCTATTTATCTTAATCTAGATACATTGTCACAATTATTTAAACTCACATTTATACTTTTGCTAGGATTTATATCTATTAATTTACAATTTCTATCAGTGGTAAAGCATATATGCAATTAAAATATAAACATTGAAATATGAATTTCCATTTCAAATTTCATATCACTAAAACTGTCTGAGAGAGCAAACCTTCTTATATAAATATATCATTATAAGTGGTAAAACTTTTATTTGAATACAACAAAATTGACAAGGCTAATTTTCATATGGATTTGTTGATATTCTACACCAAGCACTAGAGAATGGCATGAAAGAATAATTTCGTACATAAATCATGAGCAACAGAAAATAATGACATCAAGATTTCATTTGTACATAACATCATCTGATGCAAAATAAATTCAGGTATTTCTCCCTTAGATACTAAATACATTATATCATTCAATGGTTTATCTTTTTATCTTGATTCTACTCTTTTTTTACCAGAAGTTTAACCCCTTTCTCTATTCAAGGTATTTTTTAAAATAACATCTTCCCAATGCAAAATTTCTGACAATCCATGGGCTGCTTTAAATTATTTCTTAGATCCATGTATCAGTTTATAATTGCTTTCATAAATAAACTTTGAGCTTACCTCTTCCCTTTTCAATAACAAATCCAAAGATTTCCCCACAAATAAAAACTGTGCATCCAATCAATATCCCTCTGAGGGAGCCAACAGAAGGTGGGGTTGATTGAGTCTGTATACCTGTAATTCTGTTAGAACCAATCATGGTGCATCACTAGTTTAAACTTTCCCCTAAAATGTAATAACAAATGTGTTCAGACAAAAATAATTTAGAATGTTTGTCTTTATAAAACATACAAGTGTGAACACATTGAAATGCAGGGGCGGATCCAGCCATTTTAAAAAGGGGGGGGTTCCCAACCCAGGAGCAAGGGGGGGTTCCAACCATATGTCCCCATTCAAATGCATTGATCGGCCAAAAAAAAGGGGGGGGGGGGGGTTCCAACTTTAACTTTAACAATTAAATATCATGAAAACTCACAGTTGATCATGAGAAATGAGATCAAGGTCACGGTCAAGTAAAATATGTCAGACAGATATGTACTCCTTACAATCATTCTATATACTATATACAATTGAACTTTTACTTACAGTAACTGAGAAACTAACCTAATCCTGAAAACTTATCCTTCTTCAATTGAAACCATGAAAATTAGGTCCTTACAATTCTATAGACCATATGTAACAGCCCAATTATTAAGTGACTGTGAAAATTACCTCAACTTAAGGAAAATTCTTACATATTACTTATATAAAGAATAATGGCATTTATGTTTTTGATACTGACTTTATCAGCTAGAATATCAAGCGAGCCCGCTAGGGGGAGCTGATATTCGAGCTGATGAAGCCAGTATCAAAAAATAAAATGCCATTTTTCTTTTTATCGGCAATTTGTCGTAACTGTATATTATTTTGGTTAAGAAGTAAAGTAAAAAAAATAAGTAAAACTACTTTTACGCCGACAGAACATTGGGAAAGTTGTTCGTTTGTATGAATGATGTCGCATGCATTTCATTGATAAATTGATGCAGATTGACTTGAGCATGTGACGTTGCTGCACTGAAACATGATGTCATTGCCTAATATTTTCGAGTATCAAGTCCTGTCCATGATATAAAAATATTAGGCAGTAAGATCAAAGGGAAAATGTACAAATTTATTAGCTTTTAATTTTTACCAAGGCCAAAAATAAAATTAGAATTGTTTGATGTTGCCTACCTAGACATCTAACAAGCAGCATTTTCAAAATAAAAAAAAAAAAAACAATTTGGGTGTTCTCACATTATTTTCTTGTCTAAAACATGTAACTTATGTTGTTGGCCCAAAAAAAATAAAATCCCTACCTACCTACCCAACCCTTCAAGGCATGGGTAGGCCACATCAAACAAAGAATTTGTTAAGGGTGGCCCAATATTTCAGGAGTATAATTTAAAAAACAAAGTAAAACAAGGGGAGTAACTCAAAATTTATAATGCAAAACATGTTTGAAATAAAGGGTTTTATCTGTCCTATTTTTAAAAAGAAAGGTGATCCTGCAAATGCTGACAACTATAGAGGTATTACAATATTGAGCTGTTATGGAAAATTGTTTACATGTATTTTAAATAATAGATTGTTCAATTATTTGGAAAGTTTAGGATTATTATGTGAAGAACAGGCAGGGTTCAGAAAGGGGTATGGCACTGTTGATCATATCTTTAATTTGAAATGTCTCATTGATTTGTATTTATTTAGAAGGAAAAAATTGTATTGCGCCTTTGTTGATTTTAGTAAGGCTTTTGACTCTGAAAACAGAATATTATTATGGCAAAAATTGTTACGCAATGGTATAGATGGTAAATTACTGATTGTATTACAAAACTTGTATAAAAATGCAAAATCTTGTGTAAGAGATGGATCTAATTGTTCAGATTTTTTTGCATCTAATATTGGTGTGAGGCAGGATGAAAACCTGTCGCCCCTATTATTTTCTATTTTTCTTAATGATTTGACTGAGTTTATGTCACATGCTTATAGTGGTCTGAATGATGTTTGTAATATGTCTCATTTACTGTTTGACAATGATGATATTGAAGTGTATTTCAAATTGTATCTGTTGTTATATGCGGACGAGACAGTCATTTTTGCAGAATCCACAGCTGAGTTACTCAGCATTGAATGCAATGTATAAATTATATTGTGAAACATGGAATCTTAAAGTTAATACTGCAAAAACCAATGTTGTTATATTTTCTAAAAGTCGACAGGCTGAAAATGTTCATTTCATATATAATAATGACCATTTATCTGTTATTGATGAATTTAAATATTAAGGTATTGTATTTTCTAGAAAAGGTACATTTCATGTTAATAAATCTAGACTGGTTCAACAACCCAGAAAAGCAATGTTTTATGTATTACGTAAGGCAAGAAAATTGTATTTACCTATAGATGTATTGTTACAACTTTTTGATGCTATGGTTGGCCCTATATTATTGTACGGTGCAGAAGTTTGGGGGTATGAGAAAAATGATGTTATTGAATTATTGCATTTAGAATTTTGTAAATATATAATGAAAGTTAAAAAATGTACACCTAATTGCATTGTATATGGTGAACTTGGTAGAGTACCAATGTCTGTTAATATTAAGGCAAGAATGGTTGTTTTTTGGAAACGTATTGTTACAGGCAAAAAAGAGAAAATTTCTCGTACATTGTATGAAATGCTATATAAACTTGATTCTGGTGATATATATCACTCTAAGTGGTTGAATTGTGTAAAAGATATATTACCTGAATGTGGTTTTATTAATGCCTGGAATAATCAATATATAGATACAAACTGTCAGTGTTCTAAAAATGTGAAACAGTATTACCACAATTTGTTTGTAAATGAATGGAAGGCTCAGATATTTAATACATCAAAATGTTTAAATTACAGAATATACAAGTCTGAGTTTGGTTTTGAAGATTATTTAACTACATTGCCTTTTGATTTAAGAATTTATTTGTGTAAATATAGGTGCAGTAGTCATAGGTTACCTATTGAATGTGGTAGATTTTATAGCATTGATAGATCAGAAAGAATACATGTATGTGATTTATGTAACAGAAATGTGCTAGGAGATGAATTTCATTACATATATGATTGTACTTTCTTTAATGCTGAATGGCTGAAATTCTTACCAGCAGATACTTGTAAAGTGAAGAATACTATGAGTTTCTCTGATTTAATGAACAGCAAAGATAAATTTGTTCTTGTTGGCTTAGCTAAGTTCTGTAAAATTGTAATGTCAGTTTACAAATGATATTACCTTCCCATTTATTCATGCATTTGTAAATATGTTTGTTCATGCATTATTTCTTATTTGTTATATTGTTGTACTATCATGCCTCATGTGAGGCCTTTAGTGAAATAAAATGTTTCAATGTTTCAAGATTATTTTGACCTCAGACTTAGACTGGGGTAACAGAAGTTAATTAACAGATTGTTTTAAGTTTGACACCGAAGCTGTCAAGTAAAGCCACTTAATTGTATAAATCATCTGAATTTGCTGGTAACAAATTTCCTTTCAGTGACTCAAAATCTATGTCTTTAATTTTATTAGGCAATTTTTCTCAATTCTTTATGAACACTTCATATAATCAGATGATTGAAGGATTAGTTCCTCATGTATTCTCTTATATTTAGAGTAATTGCCATGTGCTTTTATTTATAATATTTAATTATCAATTAGCTCCCTGTTGTGACATGAAAATGATTCTGGGATTGTTGCAAAATGTTCAGATTGATACATACTTTAAAATGTTGTAATAATTAAAAAAAAAAATTCATACTGTAGTGCTACTAAATACAACAAAATGTAAAGGTTTATTAAACAACAAATAATCAGCTTTAATTAATTGACTTTTTCTATTGATTTATTGTTTTGATAGTCTACAAACTTTCATTTAGCTAGAGTTGTCTTCTCGTCGCTCTAATTTTTTTTTTCTTGTCGCTAATTAGTGAGACCTTATATAATAAGATGTTATTTAAACTAAAAGTAAGTAAGTAAGTAAATTTTATTTACAGTTGGCATATATGTACATAGTAACAAAGAAACACGATCTCTGATGAGCCCTTTAACAGACTATATCAGCTCATAGACTTCAACTTTGTTAGGAAGATATCAAGGTACTATCTAGTATCAGCTCATAGACTTCAACTTTGTTAGGAAGATATCAAGGTACTATCTAGCAAAATAGATAGTGTATTTATTGCTCAACTGGAGAGAAAGAAGATGAGAACCATTTTTTACTGGCTTGTTCAAAGTTTAAAGTTGAACATTGTAATCTCATCGATGCTATTTGTTTGCAAAGTCCTAATTTTAATCATTTTCAAAATCCTGAAAAATTGGGTAACAAGTCAAATCAGCACCTGGTCAATTAGGCACCTAGTCAAATCGACACCAATTTAAAGTAATTTCGGCATTTGGTTATTCAATTCAGCACCTTAAATTATTTTTACCTTTTTGTTTGAAGTATGGGGAGAATAGTTTTTTTTTATATATTTTTTGCAAAACTTAAATACTTTCAGAGGTTATTAAAAAGATACATTTCGTACAGTGTTAACAAAAATCAGCACATATAATTTAGCAGTTAGAATACACAATAAAAATAATCAGTTGGCTTGCTGTTTGAATACATTTTGGCAATTAGTCATTTCTTATTGTTACTTTTTGGGGTAATCGTAGCCAGTGCATATAATATAGGTGCCAATAGGAACAGATTTTATGGGTATCTGGGTCCTTCGCTCCCATTTACTTTCGCACCAACACGTTCGCACACATTTTATTGGTTTTGTGTTGAATAATTTTTTTATCATGTTTTAATTAGTGTATTGCTATAAATATTTTTTCATGGTTTCAAAATAAAGTGACATTCAAAAAGGTAAACAGATTTCTTTAAGTGTTTTTTTTTTAAATTATTTTGACGAAATGAATAATAAATAAAAAATTGTCATGATGATCATGGTAAAGTTCATTTATCTAAGACTTGTAAATGAAAGGTGGAAGATACCAAACGGCTATCAAACTAGTTACAAAATGTACAATGACATTGCCACAACAACAAATAACACAATAACCAGGCCACAAATCACGTTTTTTGGAAATTTGTCCAGAAGCTCTGACAGCAGGGATCTCTTTTTTGCAGCTAATTTTACCAAGCATTTTTTTAATATTATACCATAAATTTGAAAATTATTTGTCATT